TTAAATGATGTTAAAAGTTTAAGCATGGAAGATTGTAGTACTTGGTAAACGTAAAACCCCTTAGCCATGATGGCCCTGAAGTCGCTCACCTGTATATAGGCCCCCGGAACGGGGCAAGTTTAAACCCCAGGGCTTTTATTTGAACAAACTTGGTAGACACCCATTAGAATATGTTTCATGCTAAACATCTAAGGTCTAGCTCCTTGGGTTTTTTAAAAGAAGATTTTTTCAAGTTTTTTCTTTACACATATAGTTAAAAACAATGACACACCTGGGGCAGGACCAGTTTTGACCCCAGGGCTTTTATTTGAACAATCTTTGTAGACACTTACTATAAATTGTCTCATGCTTAATATCTAAACTCTAGCTATTCGGGTTTTTTCAAAGAAGATTTTTAAGTTTTTGCTATACACATATAAGGAAAATCAATGTCCCCCGGGGCCGGCCAATTTTGACCCCAGGGCTTTTATTTGAACAAACTTTGTAGACACTCACTAGAAGATGCTTCGTGCTTAATATCTAAACTCTAGCTATTTGAGTTTTTTCAAAGAAGATTTTTTAAGTTTTTGTTATACACATATAAGGAAAATGAATGACCCCCGGGGCGGGGCCAATTTTGACCCCAGGGCTTTTATTTGAACAAACTTGGTAGACACTCACTAGAAGATGTTTCATGCTTAGTATCTAAACTCTAGCTATTTGTTTTTTTTTCAAAAAAGATTTTTTAAGTTTTTGCTATACACATATAAGGAAAATCAATGACCCCCGGGGCGGGGCCAATTTTGACCCCAGGGCTCTTATTTGAACAAACTTGGTAGAAATCCATTAGAACATGTTTCATGCTAAATATCTTAGCTCTAGCTCTTTGGGTTCTTTAAAAGAAGATTTTTTAAGTTTTTACTATATGCATATAGGGAAAATCAATGACCCCCTGGGGCGGGGCCAATTTTGACCCCAGGGCTTTTATTTGAACAAACTTGGTAGACACTCATTAGAACATGTTTCATGCTAAATATCTTAGCTCAAGCCCTTTGGGTTCTTTAAAAGAAGATTTTTATAAGTTTTTACTATATGCATATAGGGAAAATCAATGACCCCCTGGGGCGGGGCTAATTTTGACCCCAGGGCTTTTATTTGAACAAACTTGGTAGACACTCACTAGAAGATGTTTCATGCCAAATATCTAAGCTCTAGCTCTTAGGGTTTTTTAAAAGAAGATATTTAAAGTTTTTTCTTTCGGTTGCCATGGCAACCAGAGTTCTGCATGGAATTAAATTCTTTGAACAATTTTTAAAGGTGACCACCAAAGGAACATTCCTGTGAAGTTTGGATGAAATTGGCCTAGTGGTTTATGAGGAGATGTCATTTAAAGTAAAAGTTTACGGACGCCGGACGGACGCCGGACGAAAAGCGATCACAAAAGCTCACCCTGTCACTTTGTGACAGGTGAGCTAAAAACAACAAAAAAAACAAAAACAACACAGCCTTACTTCCACCCAGTACTCCATTGCTTCATTGAGGTCCTGAACCATGCATAGACATTTATAAACTGTAAAGTATTCATGACCAAAGTGAGAAACTTGTGCTTTTAAAAATTTGTTAAGTCTAAATCAAAGGTTACATCTTAAATACAATGCTGTTTTTCCTTTTTTATTTTAAGAAGGTTTACAGTCTCATGTCCAAATATGGATTTTTAATGGAAAAGAATACAATGTACATACGCAGTAAATGATATCTTCTTTGCTAAAAGCAGACTAGTATTTTTCCCAAAGATTATAGGCTAACAATGAACTTTACTCTTTAGAGCAGAGTTTGCTTTTTCCCAAAAGATTATAATCCAATACCACATTCTTCATTGAGAGAGATGTACAGCAGTTTTCTAGCAGACTACAGATAGATCTGGTAGATGTCTGTGGTGGATCGGAAGGCACTTTTACGAGCTATATAATCTGAGCAAACATTTAAAGCATGTAGTCTGGCCAGTGTGTGCAGTGCATTGCAACACCCGAAACTTCTCATCTATTACTTCACATGATAATTGCATCATCCTGATGCTTGCACAATATCATGAAATCTTGTTCCTCCACTAAACATTTCTTCGTAACAGATAAGGACTTTACATAGGGTCATAGATTGCAGATAGTATTCTACAGAAATTAAATATCTGATATGTTTTCAAATTCATGCAAAATATATAGCAATCCTAGAATGCTTTTTTATATAAATTTGTCCAAATCACATGTTTACATGCAGATAAAAAATGAACAACATACTGTTCCCTGATTTGTTCCCTTATTATTATATATATACAGAATTTATTTTAGTTCGATTGTGTAGGAAGCTATAAGCTTATAGACACACTTTCGAATCCGTTCCTGGAACCAACCAGTACTGAGCAATATATGTGTGTAAAGTTTCTTGCTCAAGGAAACAACGACTTGCCCCTGATGGGGTTTGAACTCATGCGCTAGTGATCATTATTATTTTAGGGTCGTAAGTTGACATCTTTAGAAAATTACATGTTTGACATTGTTGTAATCATCTTGTTCAGCTCCACAAAGATATATAATTTATCTTCAAAATGAATTTTCAACAAGAAAAAAACATATATTCAAACAAGTTGTAACTTGCTTGCAGTTCTTAAGGTTCAAAACTTAACCCTTCATTATCTTGTAGGTTAGAAAACGATTGTAACAACACTTTGTAATGTAAAAAGTAGACTAATATTTTGAAGAGAACCTCCTGTGCCGTATGTTCAAACTTATTAGACCTATTATAAACCTATGTTTTACATATACTTTCTGAAACTGCAAGCAGACTCTCTTATCTTAGGAAAAGCAGTCAAATATAGACAAGCAGTCCGACCAGGCTCTAATTTGGTGGCATAGGCAAGACAGTATTGACCCTTTAGATAAAAAATGTTCATGATTAGATTTAAGCAGTGAAATATAATCAACATTTATCACTAACTGCATAATAATCATTACACTAACTGCATAATAATCTTTACAAAAAATTTCTGTTTTCATCAAATTGTATACTTTTTTCATCAAATTGTATAACATAGACACAGGATTTCACTTGTTTTTCATTAATATGGAAGATATCTGACATGGAAGAGGAATATTCCAACTTTAACCTTTGTGAAAATATCTTAACTTTATCATGTGAAAATATCTGCAAATTATCATGAAAATATCTGCAAATTAATCTAGAAAATATCTACTTTTATCCAGAAAATATCAATGAAATGTAAAAACATCTATGAATCATGAAAATCTGCAATTCATTTTATTGCAGTAACATAAATATAGTATTATCCATAATTCAACCAAAACACAATAATTCTTTTACTTATCTAAGAAAGTTTGAAAATTGTTAATCAAACTTTACTGATGTAATCCCTCCCCCCCCCTCCCCAACACTTACACTGAAATAATGTTTATAATCGGTATATTGTCAATAAATTTTACATTAAATCAGTGTTGTTTTGAAAAAGTTTTATTGCTGGCTATATAAGGAAATGTCTATGTGTTTAATTTGAAATTTGAGATAAAATGAAAAACAACAAAAAAAAACATACTAGTTTCATAGAAAACACTGCATTTATTTCCCTCAACTTGCCAAACAACTGTATTTTATGACCACCAATCAAAGGTGACTTATTAATCAAGGTTGCATTGCATATTTGCATGCACAGCTTTAATCTAAGACTTCTTCTTTGATTTATTACCCTTTAATTAAATGATGAAGTCTGCTAATTAGTGTAAACATTGTTCACAATACGTAGAATCTGTCTTAATTCCAATTCGTCCCAAGGACAAGGGTAATCTTGGAATCGCCATGATAAGTCAATTAAACTTATCGCAACTTATCAAAATTTGGCAGCGAAACAGCCTGTCAGATCATGATCGGAAAGTAAAATTCCTGTAACATGAATGGATCAAGTATTTACCAGATCTAATGATTTGCAATAAATATTCGGAAGAAAGATTACGGGCGGAAAAAGTAACAAGCTTTTGAAAAAAGCAAGTGTCTGTTTTGAACATAGTTTCTTTTATTAACAACTGTCTGAGATTATGATTTTTGGCAAGGAAAGTTTGTACCAACTTGATTCATTGCGATCTGTTTCAATTGAACACATGGATTAAAATTATTTTCAATAAAACGCAAATAATTTTTTTCAAATTTAATTTAAAATTTTTCAGTAAAACCTGTGCTAAGCAATACCCTTCAGAAGACAAATAATTTGGTGTTACTCTACAGAGGGTAAATCTATTGTGAAGTCTAACTTTGGGAAAATTTGAAACTGTCGTAAAAAGGTAGTTGCTGTATAGAGGATCACTTTGTGGAGGTTGCACTGTATTTTTTTCTTCTTCATAAAATAACCAAACATGTTTTCAAAGTGACGGAAGTTCTTGTCGATTGACAAATAAATTGTCCTTATATTCTCTTCCTCAAAGATGCAATAGGAAAAGAAAAGAACAAATTTGTGATTCCCCCCCCCCCCCAAAAAAAGAAAGAATTTACCTAACTCCTCTCTCCACCCTAAAAAAGAAGTCATTCTTCATGATTTTCAAATAAACAAAGACATCTCATTTTCATTAATTTCTCCTATACCCTACCCCCTCTTTCTGACTTTATTTCATTTTTGTATTTAAATTTGTTCACTTTCCTTAAAAAAACAGTAGTGGAAAGATCTCAGCCCATATGTCCTATAAGAAGCTACGTTCATGTAAATATACTGGTGACTTTTAAACTAACAAAATAGGATTATAATTTACACTTCAAAACAACACCTTCTGTGACCAAAGCCAGACTAAATCCTTGTAGGCTTATTAAAATACCCCAGATTATTTCACTTTTATAACATATATAATTTGCTGACAAATCTGTCAAGGTAGAATAGTGTACAAAATATTTTAATAACCTTTTAATACTTAAGGGAACAAAAAAATATTGATTTCAAATGACCTATAATTGGGAATAATGATCATAACTTTGTAATATGATTTATTCTTTTAATATATTACATGTTTTTTTCAACAAATTTATGCAATGTACAAATTCACATTCCTTTGTACAATAATCTCCTATTATATTTAAATATTAAATCAATAAATCAGTACAAAAACAAGATAAAAACAAAAAAGCAAAATATTTGTTGATTTGGATAAAAAAATGGAAAATAATTTAATACTTAAAGTAAGTATACAATACTCTTAAAAACATACATGTTTAAGCACAATTATACTTATTTTCATTACTACTGCTAACTAGCATATTTGTAAAAAAAACTGCAATGAAAAAAGTAAACGACTGTATTGCACATCTTTTATAAAGGGAGACAACTCACAGGAAAATTAGTTGATTTTTGTCATCAGTTTTCCTTGCATGTACATTTTGTACTTCAATTCTTGCTACAAGTGGCTGATTTTCTCCTGTCTTTTTGAGTTTTAAAATATTACCATTGAATTATATATCACACTTCTGCTTGGTTAAACTTAGAGGATCTTAAAGCTGTTTCCAGAAGTAGAGCAAAAAAAAATCAATTTCAAGGGCAGATAACTCAAGAACTAGAATGGTGACCCTCAATTTTTCTTTAATCAATTTGTTACAATCAGGATGCAAAGTTTGAAAGAAAATTGTCTACTCTAGTTGAAATTTTTACTTCTTTGCCTTTGTGGCAAAATGCACTCCTGGAAATATTCTTGAATGAGAAATGACAGTTCAAAAAAGGTGATATTTCTGTTAAGTTTAAATGTAAGCCTTTACAAAATGACAACAAGAGGAAGATATTGTTTACATATGATATGGTATTGCAAGAAAACAAAAAAATTCAAAAGAGGCAAAAATCACTGTTTTCAAAATCCATTTGAGAAATATGATTCCCCCTTCAATCTTACATGCTGCTGATCACTTCATAATGTTTGGTATGTGAATAGTAATATAAGATATACATAATAAATATATAACTTATATTACTGTATATTAAAAACAAGTAACACCATGTTAAAGAAGAATTCATGTACATGTATGTAACAGTGCCCCTTTTTATATTTGTTCTTGCCTGTTTTATAAAATATTATATGGGTAAATTTCTGTAAACTCGAAAGAATTCTATGTAATTTTAACTTTATAATCATGAATTAATTACAACATTAAAAAGTCATCAAAATGTTCTGAACACATAAGAATCACTAGCTGTAATAAGTCTAACAAAATGTCTTCTCGGCTGACTTTTATCCGTCCCCTGAAGTTTTAATGCTCGTACAGCTAATCCTGAACTAGTATATCCAGATATCTCAAACTCTAACACTAATGGATCTATCTCCTGCTGACTCAATCTACCACTTCCTTGATTGATCAACTGTAATATATAGGTGTTAACGACATTGTATTTATTAAACATAATATGTAAACGTTTTATCATTTACCAAAAAAATAAAAAATTCAAGATTATTCATCCAACAGGTTCAAAAACTGACTTATGACAGAACAATAATTTGAACCAGTTTCGCAATCTGTATTTAATTAAAATTATTTTATTATCTTGACACTTGTAAGTAACCATTCCTCCTGAAAAAAGGCTTCAAAAATGAAGAAATACAGTAAGCAGGCAAATCATACGTTGCCATTAGAAAAAATATAGATGTCTTAAGTTGCAACTTTTACAAAGCATAATAAGAGAAAATTTGATGGCTAAGTAAAAAGGTATCAAATTATGAATCAAGATATAATGCTGATTAAATTACCCTAAACTCTGCTATAGATTCAGTTTTTCCGGGAATTCTTTTCAAGGTCCAGACAACTTGTTTCTCTGCTTTGTCAATAATTGCCGTCTGCTCATCATCAGATAACTTTGATGAAATACTGCAATGCCAAGATATTGCCAATCATTTTTATGAAAACTATTTATCAGCCTATACTAAATTAAATTTATAACTAGAATTAAGTCCATAGGACATAGATGCTCTACCATTCCAATGGTCTGCCTACAGACAAACCATGCGAATGACGGACAAGGTTAAAATCTGTATGCCCTCCATGAAGTTGGGGTGTAATAAACATAACACATGCCTTGTCAAATCTATAAACTCACAGAGTCCATTATAAATCTAACACTGCTAGCTGTACATGTATATACATGAGTATCTTGGTAATACTGCATGGCTGCACAGGTTTGCCAAGCTCTTAGTACTACAAGTCCTTTTTGCTGCTTATGTTTCGGGGCTTAAGAAAAAAAACCAACAAATAATCTCTTAGAAAAGAATACAATGATATAGAGGATATTTGTTTAGCTCAGTGTAAGATCGGAATATATTTCACCGAGTGAGCACCAAAAGGTATATTTCACGAGTGGCGCAGCCACGAGTGAAATATGAACTTTTGGTGTTCACAAGGTGAAATATATTTCGATCTTACACTAAACTAAACAAATTTTCTTTTTATTATATGCAAAGAAACGTTTTAAAAAGACATTAAACCTAGTACTGAATGAAAAGCGTGCCAAATAATAATACAACGTGACGTCATTAAGTTGGTACCCAGTTCTGTGCACGCTGGTATTTCACTGAAACATCGTAAGGGGCTTAAATTCAAAACAGTGAAATTATCAAAGTGGTAATTTCACTGTTTCAAACAGTGAAATTACCAGTTTTAAATCACTGATATATTTCTATAAACGACCGAAAAGCATGTAATAAACATTTCTCTACCTATTTAAGATATTCTAATATCTAACAGGTCACTTCAGCAACACAAGAATATAACTTTATAATTATGACAGAAGGATAATAGTTTTACAAAGATTTTAATTGATAGCTGAAACAGTGGAGTGGCTCAACAGTAGTTTTCCTACATAGTAACAGCTGCCAATTAACTATTTCATCTTTTTACTTCTGCATTGGAATGACACAAAACCAAGCTAAGCAAGTTGGTTACATCCATAAACCATAAAATAAAATGTACATGTGAATCGTTTATTTGGTAAAAAAATATTTAGATAAATTTGAATAAGTGTAATTTCTAAATAAAGAAACAAAAATTATTACCTTGCTACGGCTTTTGGTAAGGAGAATTTAACCTTCACATTGACAGCCGTAATATTGGTTGGAAAATTACTCTTCAATCTCAAAGTTACTCGAACATCTCTGAAAAATAACATAAGGCAAAACCTCAAGGACAGAATTTAGTAAAATGTTTCACTATTCTATTCATTTATCAAATCTAAGAAACTATTCATATAACATAAACTAATGGAATCATATCAGAAAAAGGACCTCCTTTCAGGAAATGAGAGCAAACTGGAAGAAGAGGAACATTTCATACCTCCAATTGAATAGGATACAATATTTTTATCCCACAATGACTGACCCCAATAACTTAATTACTTCAGGCTGAATTTTTCAAAACAATCATAGTTTTGAATACATATGCTTTACTGTAATGCTGGTTTTATAAGCAAGATTCTTTGTACCTGCATTTGGACCTCACTTATTAAAATAAAAGCTTTTTGTTCTCTGTTTATGGGAAATTTATTTACATTTAAAATTTTACGTAAATTGTAAATCAATATAACACAATATAACCTAACATGATGAATGAGTGTAAAAATGCATTAACTCTTCTATATGATCATTTTTAATTCTTTAATTTCAAGGGCTTTAACATATATTTGCCTTGAAGGTTGATCTCAATTGTCAGAAGGTTGATCTCAATTGTCAATAGAAAAAAAAACATGGCATAACTTTAAAATTCATATTCTGTCTTAAAAGCAAGCAATTGTCATAATAAGTGGCATTGTTCTTAAACAAGTTTATACATGTACATAGAGCCTTCAACCTATTTATATTTAACAAGAGCTTAAAAGTAAAACAAGAGCTGTGCACGTGATCATCCTTGCAAGTGGCATCTATCTTGGACAATGGCAAAAAACCATGATCCTGAAGAAATGTGTGACTTTCTAGTGAACACTGCAGACCACACCTTGGCCAGGTTTTAAACCAAAGCTAATGTTGGGGTGCATACAAGAGCCCTTATATATCCTTCTGTATAGACAATTTAAAATTACAGCAACTTTATATAAATGCAAGGTGCACACCATTTAATAAGAATAAGTCTTATCAATTAAAGTGCATCTCTCTATTAATACAGTATCTCTCTACTAAAGAACCAATGATTTATCAAATATTACAAGAAGCTCTGGCAATAATTTGTCATACAGGTATACCTGCTTCCTTCAGCATCGCCAACAAATGACCTCAAACTGAATGGCTGATTTAAACACATTTCTCCACTAATACTGTAACTCAACACTGATATCTGAAATATTACAGTATTAGTATTACAAAAGGTAACGCTACAAGTCAAGGCACAAAACAACTTTATTTTACAGAAAAACACATCCAGATGAGTCAAAATATTTCGATAAAATTAAACTAGAGAAATATGTACAACGATTTTAGCAAAAGTAAAATGATTCAAGATTCAAGTAATATTTTACATGTTACATGCAGTAAATGACTGATTTTTCAGTATTTACAATTATATTTCTACAGCATTACTAACGCAGTTAGGGCTTTTTATGCACCTTTTGACCACTTTTTGGTAATTAAGTGGGTTGTATGTGCCATTGATAATGTGTAAATTGCTTCCTTATTATTTCACAATATTATACATTCAAATACATTTTCAAAATTTTCATGAAAATTAGCGTGAATCTGGAGGCGTGCTGCTTTAATGTTTTTTGAAATAAGTGAAATGTAAGATAATTGCATTATCTCCCATACACCGTTGCTGAGACTTTGAGCTGTATCTAAACAAAAGGTCAAAAAGGCACAAACTAAACACGAGTCTCAAAACAGATAAAATATATCTATATCATATAAACCACATTTATTTCTTTATTGCAGGTTGCACATTGTCAAGTGTCATCAAAGATACAAACCTCTCCTACAGGTGGTACAAACGTTAGTGTCTTAGATGTTGTAAAATCTTCTTGTTTCACACAACTATGAAAGGTACATCTGTCAAGCTGTACATTTGAACCATATCCTGAAATGATGCAAAATAAAATGAGCCGTGTCATGACAAAACCAACATAATGGGTTTGCGACCAGCATGGATCCAGACCAGCCTGCGCATCCGCGCAGTCTGATCAGGATCCAAGCTGTTCGCTTACAAAGCCTATAGCAAGTAGAGAAACTGATAGCGAACAGCATGGATCCTGATCAGACTGCGCAGGCTGGTCTGGATCCATGCTGGTCGCAAACCCATTACGTTGGTTTTGTCATGACGCGGCTCAAATAACCCTGATTCAAATCGTATCCTTATACATTTCATTTCAGTACTGAACATCTTTTTGAAGGAGATGAGTAACAACACTATCATAATAATTCTGCTCATGTTTTAAATAAGGTATATTGGATTTTTTTAAAATTATATTAATTTTTTTGGCTAATTTTCCACTGTGCTATAATCAATACCTTGTGTGGAGGAACAATTCAATTTTAAAATATGATCAGATCTTGTTTACTGAAATTGACAATAAACTCTTTACAGTTCCACTTTAAAAAAAAAATAAAAAAAATTACATTTCTTCTCATGCAAGTCTTTTTGCATACATCAGGTGCCAACAAATAATGTAATGATTTCTTTAAAGAAACAGGACCAAGAATAAATAGTTTGTCATAAAAGATCACAAAATATGTTTATATGGTAAGTTAGGTAAGTTAGTATTTATAAACCTGTATTGAAAAGAAAATATCTTATGACAATTTTCTATAATTAACAAACCTTTGATATTTGAGTTTGAAACAACAAGCTCCTCATTAAGAACAATTTTAACTTGTGGCGACCCAACCAGAAAATTCTTGATGTTAACTGAACCATTTACCTCCATCTGTGAAACAGTTCCCTGTAAAATAATATAACTGGAAGTTGACTATGTTTATCAAATGAGCATGCTTTAAACTTAATATGCCATACATGTATGTATTCAAAAGTTTTAGATAATTGTTTTTTAGGTGTAAGATATAATTTTTTTGTGAGTACCTTATCTGACATCTTAATATACATTTAAAACAGAGCAAAATAGTTAAATATTGTATTATATGACTGAAATACTGTTGGAAAAAGGCGTAAAATGAAACAAACAAACAAACAAACAAAAGTATTATATGTGAAAACAGCACAGAAACCCATTCAAACCTTGTGAGATTTAAGGAATTATACAGAATAATTAAATCAAAACAAACATATTCAGGTGTAACAATATAACTGGTATCACATTTCATGTTTGATGCCTCGACTATAATCCATTTGACGGACTGCTGTGCATATGTTCAGAAAAAAATTATTATACTCACAAACAACGCTTCAAATGAAATGAAACCTTTATTTTATAGAGAATATACTTACATCTACGGCAATAAGTGCTGATATCCTCTCTATAACATCAACATAAAGCTCATTTTTGTTCTGTAATAAAACAAAATAATGACAATTAATAATAATGTTTAACACAATTATACCACACATTTTCATGACATTTATTATTATGGTCATTCAAAATGCAATAAGAGCACATAAATTTGGTATGTTTATATTGTGTGCAGTATAAATCAGAGCTTTAGCAATTCTAAGTATGAATATATAGGGAAATGTCTTTTCTTTTGTTGACCAATAGTTCAATGACAGTAACTGAAAATACAAGAGCCGGTTGAACCGGGCGATGCTCTCGGAATAGGTTTTTGACACAGAGAAGTAGTTTCTTGATGATATTTCTTGTAGTTTCAGAATTATGTCACGGACAAGAAAAGCGGACAGAGGGACAACATAGCTGTGACTATATGCCCTCCCTTTTTGGAGCATAAAAATAGGGCCATTATAAAAGTATCTTGATCTTGAGAAAAATTACCCTGACTTATGGATGAGTCAAAGCAAAATACCAACTTTTTTTAGCCATAATATACCCCTTGACTTATGGATGAGGTTGACTTATGGTCGCATATATACAGTATATAGCAGTATTCTGAATCAGGAAAATGCATTTGACTCAGATAGATTTTTCTATGCTCACCGTAGGGAACGTGTTACAGTATCGCGTTTTTCGGTTACAGTATAGAATTTTCAAGATGGATGATTATTTGTTGGGAGAACAGGTAGGTGATTTTTATTCCGGTTCATACTACTAGTAGTTTAGTTTCTAAAAGATGTTTTTGTGCTTTGCTTGTAAGGAACAGAATCCGGTATCTAGTCATATATTTCTTCAGACCCTGCGCCGCAGATTTATCGCTATATTGTCTCATAAATATGCAGATTTGACAGTTTGAAAATTTGAATCGAGAGACCAACGCATTTTTCTGCAATTTCGACATTATTTATGCATGCCTAGAAAAAGTAAATCTACAAAGCGTTAGTCCTTTATGTTAGGAAACGTTTATAAAAGTAAATGACCAGTTGAACCTATTTTCCTGTTCGTTAAATGCGTTTGAAAAAATAAACAATGTTACAGTATAGAGCGAGGTAATTTGTGCAGGGTTACAGCATAGACCTAGCGATTTGTATCCGATTTTGTTACAGTTTATACCCAGATTTCGGTTACAGTTTAGACTTCAATATTTTCTATATATACATGTACTAGGTAAAATGTATGAATGTTACATAGACTTTTAAATCTCTGTGAGCTTATTGGCCCGATGGCTATATTTTGGCCCGATGGCTATTTATTGGCCCGATGGCTATTCGTCCGTCTGACGTACACAAGTGTGTGCAATCTCAACCGCTCAGTAACTACTTGACTAAATGTGATGAAATTTACATGACTTTCTACCAATTAAGTTGGTTGCAATCGGGGATACGAAAACCCAAAACATAGATTTTGAAAAAAGGCAATGTTTAAAGGATCTTCTCATCTCGGACCAAAATCATTCAAATCAAGTCATGATGATCGCGTCATTTCGAATGCTTCTTTGTTGAAGTTACGATTATTTTGTCATTATTAAATTAAAAGTCGTTTTTTTTATTTCAGACATCCTGTATAGCAATTTGTATGTTTCTGAAAAAGAAAATAATATTGAAAGTTTAAGAGTATAAATTAAGGTCAGACAATTACAATATCTTCTCTAGTGAGCCTGATGGAGGTACATAATAGTGACAGAGTCGTGATAAGGCCGTCGACTTCAAATCATCTTTCATTTACTGCTGTAGTTGAAATCCAAACGTAACAAAATAGAGTTAAACAGAATCTCTAAAGAAATTCCAACACAACACATTTGAAAATGTTTATAAACCCTTTTAAATACTTACAAAATACATTATGGTAGATGGAAATTCCAACTTAAAAAAATTAAGGTTGCAGTATTGCGCACTTAAATACTGTTTAATCATTCTTAGGGTATTGCCTCTTGTTAATTGTGTCTTTTGACAGTTTATCTATGGTATGCAGGCTTCATAACCTCCGATCCCCTCTCAAAATTTCATTTTGTTTAGTTTCACTCATTGTATTCTCGTTTAGGGCACACGCAATGTTTTACCTGGGGGTAATATGCCACTTTTCATAGAATGCCAATAACGTGTCACATTGAAGGTTCCATGATAACCGCCATATGAACACATCCACAGATGTTAAAAATCTTAAGTGTACCAGTTCATGTTTAATGTGAATTCTGCTGAAGCCGGTGCTAGGAGGCGTGGACGGTAGCTTGCAGTTACCACTACCGTCGATGAACAGGTTTAATCAAACTGAGCCTGCAACATTTTCATGTTTTCCGTGTTGGATTTCTGTTAAGGATTCTTTTTTCTCTATTTTATTACTAATAGGCATTATTATAATGTGTAATGAAATCAAGCAATAATCTTTCTTCTCTCAATACATGTCGATAAAAGTTACTGTTGTTGTCGTGAAAACAGTCCTTACTTAGGACATTAGTTATTCTGCAAAAAGTCTCAATCTGAAACTTAAAGTAAGAAAAATAGGAATCTATAACTTTTCTGCTGAAGAAAAAAAGTAATACAACCTTTCAAGAATGTACTAAATAGAAAGGTATGAGTTATTTCATAAAAATAATGGATACACGAACTTTGTCTGAAATTTGGCAAGTATCTAAACTGTAACAGAAATCTGGGTATAAACTGTAACAACATTGGATCAAAGTCGCTAGGTCTATGCTGTAACCCTTTAAAATTAACCTCGCTCTATACTGTAACATTGTTTATTTTTTCAAACGCATTTTACCAACAGGAAAATAGGTTCAACTGGTCATTTACTTTTATAAACGTTTCTAAACATAATGGACTAACGTTTTGTAGATTTACTTTATCTAGGCATGCTTAAATAATGTCGGAATGGGAGAAAAATGCGTTGGTCTCTCGATTCAAATTTTTAAACTGTCAAATCTGCACATTTATGAGACAATATAGAGATAAATCTGCGGTGCAGGGTCTGAAGAAATATACGACTAGATACCGGATTCTGTTCCTTACAAGCAAAGCACAAAAACATCTTTTAGAAACTAAACTACTAGTAGTATGGACCGGAATAAAAATCACCTACCTCTCTTCCCGTAAATAATCCTCCATCTTGAAAATTCTATACTGTAACCGAAAAACGCGATACTGTAACACGTTCCCTACGGTGATGCTAGGATCTTACAAAAAGCAGACACAGAATGTGATCCTTTCTAATAAAATTCATGAGAATCCAAATAAAAGTAGAAGTACGATATCAAGATACATTTGTACAGTTTTTATGTCCCTCCATTATAGTCATACATTATCATATCTGAACTATATATCCAATGGTAACTTAATGCATTAATATCACTCCAGATCATAAATCTAAACAATATTGTCACCTTAGTGCATTAATAGGTTAACTCCTATTAAATTATCTAAGGAGTTTACCCATTGCTGCACTAAGGTAACAATTACTATTATTATTTATTACATGATTTCTTTCTGAATTTTGTTTTGAAAACTATCTAGATTGATAGAAAATGGTCTAACTAAGAAAATAAATCGAACACCAATATCTTTAATTCAGTTATTAACGCTGTACAGATGTTTAAAGAGTTGTTACGTGACGTCATAATGTAGCACCAAATATCGCGTGCAAAACAAGACGCAATAATATATTACTGCGCGCTGTACAATTGCAGTTGCGTAGCAAGCAATGGGATTTGTAACCATTATTCTTTGATAATGAAATTAAATAAAAAGGTTATTTTTTTCATTTTTCAAATTTTTTTCTGTCTCATTGTATTTGACAATGTGATGCACACATTAAATTATGCAAAATATGTACAATTATTTAATTTTACCCATGAAATATGGTGCTATATCAGTCAAATATATTTCATATTTTTTAGAAATAAATATGAAATATAAATATGAAAGTGGGCAGAGTCAAAACTCATATTTATTTTAAGGAACTTCTTTCGCCATTTTATTTGAAAAATCTGATAATTACAAAACAACTTTTTGTTGAATTTTGTTTTGAAAACTATCTAGATTGATAGAAAATGGTCTAAATTAATAAATAGAACACCAATATCTTTAATTCAGTTATAAACGCTGTACAGACGTTTACAGAGTTGTTACGTGACATCATAATGTAGTGCCAAATATCGCGTGCAAAACAAGATGCAATAATATATTACTGCGCGCTGTACAATTGCAGTTGCGTAGCAAGCAATGGGGTTTGTAACCATTATTCTTTGATAATGAAATTAAATAAAAAGGTTATTTTTTTCGTTTTTCGTAAAATATGGTATATATTTTCACGAAACATGATAAAATGCCACACATTTTTACTCGCCGTCCCGGCTCGTGAAAATATGTGGCATTTTATCAAGTTTCGTGAAAATATATTCCATATTTCACTCAAACGAAAAAATATCCTCTTAGTATTTAGAATTATTGCAGACTTTGTGTTTATAACGCTTGATTTACATTCTCAACTGTAGCTCAAACCAGAAAATGTTTAAATCTAAATCTTATAAACGTAAGTTATATATGTATATGATTCAAGATAAGTAATAAATAAGAATATATGTGAAAATACCTATGTTGTCTTGGAAACAAAGAGCAGAAAATTTAATAATACTTAGAGGATACATACTTGCTCACTGCCTGACTGAACAACTGGTTTACTGGATGCTGATCCAGATATTGTCTTCGTTTCAATGCCAAACTGAAAAGAACAACAATAATATCATCTTCATCAAATCTTCAGAATTTTTCACGACATTTCAAAATATATATTCATAAAATATAATATAATATAAATATTCATTTCTAAAAATAAACTTGTTTACACAATCTTTTAGTTTTTAAGTATCGGGGCTGAGGGTAAGTACATGTACATTGTAAAAAGCAATACATTTTGTTTAAAAGCTTTACTTCCACCAACTATGAGGAGCTGCAGCACAGTATACTTGTAGTTGTAGCAAAAATTAGATCAACAAGCACAATACCGTGGTCTTAATATTTCAAGTTGACATGCAATAAATAAATCAGGGGTGTAAAATAATCTGTGGTAAGGTTCTACTTTCTGATATAAATGAATCTGTCAAGCAAGGCTGTCAAAGTATTAAGTATTTTTTTGTAAGAAACAATACTTTTAACTTAATTAACTCTTTGAAAGAATTAACCCAATTTCTTTTTTTCAAAGTTTTACATTCGATAAATACCGATCCAAGAGACGGAATTGTAAAACTAAAAAAAACATTTTATTTGACCATATCTCTTAAAACACCAGTTGAAAGATAACAAGTAAAAGCTATAGAAATAAAATGGAAACTTAGTATCTTTAATTTTCTTACAACTCTAGATGATATTTCTGTTGCAGGTGATCTTTCTTTCTGAACAACCACTGGTGCTGACTGGATGTAGGGACGGAGTTTCTCTGTAGAGGCAAGCTGAACATAACCCTCATTCTAAATAACAAAGTCATGATGTTTAAGCTTAAATAAGTTTTATACATAATCAGATTCACATTGAAAAATGACAGCATGAATGGAAATACTAAATACAAATGTTAAATTACATTAAAATGCAAACCAATTTCTAAAGGGCAGGAATCATAGAAAAATTAATTTGGTAGAATTATGCCCCTTTAAATTAAGTGCATTCTTTCAAAACACAATGAAAAATAGAAAGACCTACCATAAAATCATCTAGTAACTCATACAAAAGTAGTACATTTTCTTTGACTGAATGTTCATTGACCACACCACAGAAATCTTTACATATATGGTACAGACTACAAAATAAACAAGAGGGCCAAGATGGCCCTAGATCGCTCACCTGACCCGTCAAACTCATCCGAACAATTACCTAGACAAGCGTTCTGACCAAGTTTCATGACAGGTGTGTCAAAAATGTGACCACTAGTGTTAACAAGGATTATCCATATTTGAGCAGTGTGACCTAGTTTTTGACCCCAGGTGACCCATATTCGAGCTTGACATTCGAGCAATTACCTAGACAAGCATCCTGACCAAGTTTGATGATAATTGAGTCAAAAATGTGACACTAGAGTGTTCACAAGGTTTTTCTATTTTTAGCTCCTGTGACCTAGTTTTCCATCCGAGATAAATCATGTTCAAACTTATCCAAGCATCGACTAGACAAGCATTCTGACAAAGTTTGATGATGATTGGGTCAAAAATGTGACCACTAGACTGTTTGCAAGGCTTTTCTATTTTTAGGCCCTGTGACCTAGTGTTCCACCCGAGATGACCCATGTTCAAACTCATCCAAACAATTGACTAAACAAGCATCCTGACAAGGGTTCTTAATAATTGGGTCAAAAATGTGACCACTAGAGTGTTCACAAGGTTTTTCTATTTATAGCTCCTGTGACCTAGTTTTTCATCGGAGATAAACCATGTGCAAACTCATCAAAGCAATTATCTAAACAAGCATCCTGACAAAGTTTGATCATGATTAGGTAAAAAATGTGACCACTAGTGTCCAAAAGGTTTTTCTATTTTTAGCTCCTGTGACCTAGTTTTTCATCAGAGATGACCCATATTCAAACTCATCTGAGCAATTGACTAGACAAGCATCCACACTAAGTTGATGATGATTGGGTAAAGAATGTGACCACTAGAGTGTTCACAAGGTTTTTCTATTTATAGCTCCTGTGACCTAGTTTTTCATCAGAGATGACCCATAATTGAACTCATCTGCGCAATTATCTAAACAAGCATCCTGACAAAGTTTGATGATGATTGGGTCAGAAATGTGACCACTAGAGTGTTCACAAGGTTTTTCTATTTTTAGCTCCTGTGACCTAGTTTTTCATCAGAGATGACCCATGTTCGAACTCATCCAAGCAATTGACTAGACAAGCATTCTGACCAAGTTTGATGATGATTGGTTCAAAAATGTGACCACTAGAGTGTTCACAAGGTTTTTCTATTTATAGCTCCTGTGACCTAGATTTTCATCGGAGATGACCCATGTTCGAACTCATCCAAGCAATAAACTAAACAAGCATTCTGACAAAGGTTGATGATGATTGGGTCAAAAATGTGACCACTAGAGTGTTCACAAGGTTTTTCTATTTTTAGCTCCTTTGACCTAGTTTTCCATCCGAATTGACCCAGTTTCGAACTCATCCGAGCAATTGACTAAACAAGCATCCTGACAAAGTTTGATGATGATTGAGTCATAAGTGTGACCACTAGTGTGTTCACAAGCAATTGTGGACGTACGACGGACGACGGACATTCACCGATCCTAATAGCTCACCCTGAGCAAGCTCAGGTGAGCTAAAAAGAATGATTCTTTTTTTAAAATAAAATTAGTAAAGACTCTGTTATACTAGAACAATGTTAGTTTAACACAGATGAAAGCAAAAATAATACTATATTTCATTTTGATATCTGGTTATAACTTCAAATAACGCTGTCATAATTATACTTGAGTATTTATGAATAGAGAGAGAGAGCATTGGATTGATTATCCAGGAAATGCTGACTGATCCTTGGACTATTTAATTTGTTTCCATGACAATTGATCTAGGTCAAATGGTCATTTGTCTCTTACCACTGATTCAGTAATCATATGGGATAAGTAGTCTGTCATTTGTGAAGAAACTGGTTAATATTGGTAAATTATACAAAAAGCCAGTTATGTGCAATGACTGCCAGGATATGACAAGAGAAAGAAAACAAAACATGCTGCAATGATTACTGTAACAATCTTATAAACTTAAGGCAACAGGGTCTTTTTTTGCTTCCATAGCAGGGGCTGTTTATAGGTGTCTTCCCAAAAGAAAAATACTTTGAAATTATGCAGTTTTCCCTAAAAATTGAGTTTACATCAAGTTTTTACTTCCTCTTTTGCAAATATTCCATATAATTTCCCCCAAAATTTAATGGTAAAGCTTTACCGTGTAAGTAATTCAATAACCATAACAGGAAGTAGTGAGGAGGCAGAACATGCTACTAGGTAGACATCATTACGTTGAATGTTGAAGAAACTTATTCCGTTGAGATACTGAAAAATATTTTATTGTAAATCTATGAGAAATTACACCAATGAAACAAAAGTTTGTTTTTCTGAAATTAGAACAATGAAACAAAAGTTTGTTTTTCTGAAATCAGAACAATGAAATAAAAGTGTGTTTATCTAACATGTTCCATCTGTCTATGATGATATACATATTTTTGTTTGGTTTTAAGTCAAATCAACACTGTAAATGTCATAATTATGCCTTTCATGATTTAGAAGTGGCATGAGCAGACATCTTAGTAGAACCACCATCCTTCCATATGCTAGCTGAAAATCTTCCTCACATGAAAGAATCCAGAGTCCTGGTGGGCCCCTAACCCACAACTGCAAGGGGCATGTTGTTTGAAGTCAGTGACACTAATTCCTCAGCCATATTGTAGTCATATAAGCTTAGTCATATAGATGATCCTTAGTAGACATTTAAGTATTTAATGCTGAAATTTCACAAGAAATGTTGAATGCATTCATTACCTTAACAGTGATTTCATGCTGAAAACAAGCTGTTTCCCCTTTCCCCAAAATAGTTAAATTTTCCCCTAAAATGTTAAATTTTCACACAAAAATGCTACTGTGCACATTTGTCACCAGAACCATAACTTAACATCACATGAGCCGCGTCACGACAAAAACAACATAATGGGTTTGCGACCAGCATGGATCCAGACCAGCCTGCGCGTCCGAGCAGTCTGATCAGGATCCATGCTGTTCGCTATCAGTTTCTTTACTTATTATAGGGTCTGTAAGCAAACAGCATGGATCCTGATTAGACTGCGTGGATGCGCAGGCTGGTCTGGATTCATGCTGGTCACAAACACATTATGTTGGTTTTGTCGTGACGCGGCTCAATTATGACTTTAATCAGCTGTATGATAAATTTAATGGATTGAAAGCTGTCACTATAGATCGCTTCTGCTATGTACCTTGCATGTTTCATAGCAATTTAATTGAAAATTAGATTAAATGTTGGACTATGTTGCATTTGTAATTTAAATTTAATATCTTCCCTTTATTGATTTATCATGCTACATTTTCCCCTTCAGAGAGTCACAGGTTGTTTTGAAAATCACTGCAAAATTAATACTTCAAAATTTACAGTTTATTGATAACTTTAGTCTTGTGGTAATATATACAAATACATGAATTCAATAGATACTTACAAAATGAGGCTGTATACTTGATGCTCTTGAAGCTTTCAGTTTCTCTAGGAAGTACATTTCTGGTGACACAGAAAACTCATATCTGTCTATAATATTATTAAGGAAAAAAAATAAGACGGAAAAAACAAATATTTGTACATTAGCCTACTATAATACAGTTTGTTAGGAACGCCCTCATAAAAAAATAAAATCAATTTCATTCATCTCACCAGTCTAAAGAGTAAAAAGCTTTTTCAGTTAATACAGTAAGGGGAAAATAAAGTGGAAATGGAATTTAGTGTGAAAGGAAAGGGACAACTAAACATCGTGCTTATGCATACATGTGAACTTTTTTGGATGATCAAGTAGGAGATTTTCTTCAAAAAGAGGGAGATTGTAGAATTTGCAATAAACAAAGAAGGAAGTTCTGACATCAAAAATAGGGAGATTTCTTTATTTGTGAAAATACCCCTTATTTTAAGAAAAATCTTTGGAAGTTTGGATGCAGAAAGTGGGAGTCTCCCGCTTAAAGTGTGAGAGTTCACATCAGGGTCTTTCAAATAGATATGGCTATTTGAAAGACCCTGTTCACATGTATGCTTATGGTACTTGTAGAAGTGATATTTAAACATATGTCACGATCTGATCTGGCCTCAATACACATCTTTACTTTGTAAAAAAAAAACTTGTCACTAAATAGGCATTTTCTTCTTAAATATATAATCTTGATAAACACCGCTTTTACAATGTACATGTAACTTGAACTTTAGTGGCATTTGAACTGATTGTAACAATGTTACATCAGGAATAATAAAACTAAAAAATAAAAATACCATGGAAATAAAAGTTTTACACTGACAGATCAAATGAAGGACTCTGTGATGGATTCTTATGTACTGCACTTCAGGTCTATGAAAAAAGCTTATGTCAATCAAACTTATAGTGACCAAGTTATGCTCTGGACAAGCCTATTAAGTAAGAAAATTAACAAAGGGCAATAACTTAACAAGAGGGCCAAGATGGCCCTAGATCGCTCACCTGACCCATCAAACTCATCCGAACAATTACCTAGACAAGCATTCTGACCAAGTTTCATGACAGGTGAGTCAAAAATGTGACCACTAGAGTGTTAACAAGGATTATCCATATTTGAGCAGTGTGACCTAGTTTTTGACCCCAGGTGACCCATATTCGAACTTGACCTAGAAATCATCAAAACAAACTTTCAGACCAATTTCCAGGATATTTGGATCAAAACAGTAGCCACTAGAGTGTTAATAAGATTTTTCTATTTTTAGCTCCTGTGACCTAGTTTTTCATCCAAGATGACCAAGTATGATGATAATTGAGTCAAAATTGTGACCACTAGAGTGTTCCATATTTGGGCGGTGTGACCTTGTTTTTGACCCCAGGTGACCAATATTCGAACTTGACCTAGAAATCATCAAAACAAACTTTCAGACCAATTTCCAGGATATTTGGATCAAAACAGTAGCCACTAGAGTATTAACAATATTTTTTTATTTTTAGCTCCTGTGACCTAGTTTTTCTTCTGAGATGACCCATGTTCGAACTCATCTGAGCAATTACCTAGACAATCATCCGACCAAATGACAATTGAGTCAAAAATGTGACCACTAAGGTTTTTCTATTTTTAGCTCCTGTTACCTAGTTTTTCATCTGAGAAGACCCATGTTCAATCTCATTAGAGCAATTTCCTAGACAAGCATCCTGACCACGTTTGATGATAATTGAGTCAAAAATGTGACCACTAGAGTGTTAACAAGGCTTTTCTATTCTTAGCTCCTGTGACCTAGTTTTTCATCCAAGATGACCCATGTTTGAACTTATCCAAGCTACAACCTAGGCAAGCATCCTGACAAAGTTTGATGATGATTGAAGCAAAAATGTGACCACTAGGTTTTTCTATTTTTAACTCCTGTGACCTAGTTTTTCATCCGAGTTGACCCATGTTCGAACTCATCCTAGCTATTACTTAGAAAAGCATCCTGACACAGTCTGATGATGATTGAGGCAAAAATGTGACCGCTAGAGTGTTAACGAACAAGTGTGGACGGACTACGGACATTCAATGATCCTAAAAGCTCAACCTGAGCTAGCTCAGGTGAGCTAATTATCATTAAGTGCAGAGTTCAAATTCTTGTGCACTGCACTTCTTGTTAATGAGATCTATCATCTTATGCAGTTTAATGTAAATAGCTTTTTAAGTGTAAGAGATTGGCTCGGACCATACATCTCACCATTTCAAATTTTGATAAATATACAAAATACTGTAGTGATACAAAAACAAATTGCCAATTGCTGGCATTTTTCTAAAATTGTCTTTTCTAAAATTGACATGCAGGGAAAATATTGCCTCATTATTTCCTTACCACGAGATCATCTTTTTAAATCACCATTTATCACATAAACCGCGGCGCAGGAGGGTAATAAAGCCATTTAATAAAAACGATATTACACTAGACAATATTACACTAGTGTAATAACACTTTGACGTCACGTCATTTGCGCTATAAACATAGCGTTAAAGCGCGCTAATGTTAGCGTTACACTATAGGCGCGTCAAAGAAAAATGACTCTTTTTAACAATTTACCGTTCTTATTTTATATATGTGATAAATAGAATATTTTATTCGTGTAGATTCAATACTAAATTTATTGAACTCGTTGAATAAAACAATATTATGCTCGCCAGAGGCTCGCATAATATGATTTTATTCAACTCGTTCAATAAATTTAGTATTAAACCTACACTCATTCAATATCCTCTATTTATATAACTATCATTAAAGGTGTACATTAGAATGTTTCTCAATCATACTTTAAGCAAGTTTAAGCTCCAGGAACATCATTTTCATTGAGAAAAATGTGGATAACAGTATTTGTGGCCATTATCTTGTATAATCTACGTGAGATTAATCCAGATTCTTTGTCCGAACTTATTAGTGTGGCTATTATTAGAACAGGTCTCCTGTTCTCAGTGACGTAAAAGATGCTTATCTCAGATCGTTGGCTATTCCATGGGTATGGGTCATGTCCGCAAAATCCTTGAAAAAAATCCTCAACAGATCATATTAAACTCCAAGAAGATCTAGTCTCCTTAGAATGTTGGGCCTAAACCTGGGGCATTAAATTAAATGCGAAAAAATGTTACATCCTTAGTGTAAAAAGCAAAAGTACTCACTTTAACGAACTGAATAAAACCATACTAAAACAACTGGACTCAAATTCCTTACTTGGTTCACTTATATCAAATGATTTAACTTAGTCAAAACAATTTACAAACATTTGCAAAAAGGCCAACACCACACTTGGTTTTCAGATTTCTAAAGCACTGTCCTCTTGAATGTTGTAAATTAGAAATATATCAGAAGTGGTCCTTCTACGTACCTGAACAGATACAGAGTATGAAAAGTCCACTTTTTAGTTTATTTACTTTACATTCTTGATTTAAGGTCTAGAAGCAATCATTAAGGTATGACCATTGTAAAGGGCACTACAAGGAACTGAATAATTGACATGCAAAATTTATACAAAAATTACAATACAGAAATCGAGTTATGGTCACTTTTCAGAACTTAAGCTTGGATGTTAAAAGGGCCCTTTTTCAGATATAAGGAACCTTTAAATAATCTACAATATCATCCCTTTGAAATTTTTTTTTTTTCCATTAAATTTTGATAAGAAACAAAAAGTAACATTAGAGTCAGTGTACCCGGTTTCGCACAGGACCCTGTCCTGCACACTTTCCCATTTTTCATTTTTTCTTGAAAATTCAAATGAATTTATTTAGTTTTCATTTGTGTTTCACTGAACTGGCATGTTTTCAACAGGATATGACATAATCTGGGATCTTGCACCCCAGCCTCTCCCTGGAGAGTGCAAACGAAAATGTAAATACATGTACGTGTCTGTGTAAGTCACACATTAAAACAACTAATTCAGCAAGTAAACCATGCTAATTTCTTTTTAATGTTAAGATTATTATAAAATATATATTTGAAAAGAAATGTATGTTTTTGTTATGGCAAATTTGCTGTTAGTTATGAAATATATGCACATGAATTAACTTCTCCTAACTACCAAACGTCAAGTCATTTCACCTTGATTCTTTTGTTTAAAATAATACCAAACTCTTAATCGAACAAATGATAACTAAATATATGAAAAAACTTTCAATAATAATTTTTTATGCCTGTGTTTACTACCTACAAGTGGTAAAAAAGTATGTTTCCAATGCTGTTACATGTTTCCTGTGTGCTACTCTGCTTGGAAATGAATGTTTGTATACTGTAGTAAGAATGTGCAATAAATTTATTTGAAGTCCTGAAATTTGCAAAAAAAATATATCTTATCTGGACTTAGTGATGTTAATAATTTATAAAACATGTTTAAGATGTAAAATAACCTTTATGACCATTGTAAAGGGCACTACAAGGAACTGAATAATTGACATGCAAAATTTATACAAAAATTACAATACAGAAATCGAGTTATGGTCACTTTTCAGAACTTAAGCTTGGATGTTAAAAGGGCCCTTTTTCAGATATAAGGAACCTTTAAATAATCTACAATATCATCCCTTTGAAATTTTTTTTTTTTCCATTAAATTTTGATAAGAAACAAAAAGTAACATTAGAGTCAGTGTACCCGATTGCACAAAGGACCCAGTCCAGCAAACTTTCCCATTTTTCATTTTTTTCTTGAAAATTCAAATTAATTTATTAAGTTTTTGTTTGTGTTTCACTGAACTGCCATGTTTTCAACAGAATATGAGTTATATGACATCTGGGATCTTGCACCCCAGCCTCTCCCTGAAGAGTGCAGACGAAAATGTAAATATAATGGCTGTGTAGGTCACACATAAAAAGAACTTATTCAGCAAGTAAACCATGCTAATTTCTATTTTAATGTTAAGATTATTATGAAATATATATTTGAAAAGAAATGTATGTTTTTGTTATGGCAAATTTGCTGTTAGTAATGATAATGTATATGCACATGAATTAACTTCTCTCAACTACCAAACCGTCAAACGTCAAGTCATTTCACCTTGATTCTTTTGTTTAAAATAATACCAAACTCTTAATCGAACAAATCATAACTAAATAGATGAAAAAACTTTCAATAATAATTTTTTATGTCTGTGTTTACTACCTACAAGTGGTAAAAAAGTATGTTTCCAATGCTGTTACATGTTTCCTGTGTGCTACTCTGCTTGGAAATAAATGTTTGTATACTGTAGTAAGAATGTGCATTAAATTTATTTGAAGTCCTGAAATTTGCAAAAAAAATATATCTTATCTGGACTTAGTGATGTTAATAATTTATAAAACATGTTTAAGATGTAAAATAACCTTTCAGTATAAAAATGGCCGTGTCTGCGGAACCGAGTCCACTATTTATTATATTTGGCCCATTCCCGTTGCTTAAAATCAAGTGCGCCTAGAAGTATGACCTAGTTAAGATAGAAATGTTTTGGTCATCAGTTTTTATAGGCAATGGATGTAATTTTCAAAATAATATCAATTTTAAGAAGAATTTTTAACTAATATGAAATAAGGCAAAGCCTATGGACGGGGAAGTTGTTAAAAATTCCTTTCATTTTTTTTCCGTTTTAAAGGTGTCATTCGATATTTCATGCACCACTTCCGTTTCCACTCGGAACACTCAACGTTTATTATTTATCCGAAAAGTGGAGATTTGTTCCGTTATCGGAATACACCGTCTTTTATCATTGAGTTACGTTGTAAATGGCGGGTGGGAGTGGTTTCGTCTAACTACCGGTTTGTCTAACTGATCTTATATAGTAAAACAGGTAGTGGTTTCGGCTAACTTAATTTATATAGTGAACAATAGCTATTGTATAATGTATAATGGGCACATTAATTATCGCGGGTTTTAATGTGTGGTTTATCACACATTTTCATGCAATTAAAGACAAGAAAAATTGAAAATTTAAACATATTTTTTATTCTTTTCTTTAGTATAATAATGATATTTACATAAAATAATAACACAAGATCTCAGTGAATAAACAATATCATAGAAATATATATACGTTTATATGTACAACCTGAAAAAAAAACTAAAGAGTCAACACAAATTACATTTCACACAAGTTTATTTTTATAATCTATGTTAAACTATATATACACAAATAGTTAAAGCTGAAAAAAATGCCTTTAATCGGAATAAAATCGACATATATACTAAAAAAACAAAGCTCGAAAGAGAAAGAATTAATAACAATGCATAAAAACATAAGAAATCCACGTACGTAATTATTATAAACAACACATATTTTTTAAATACTTTATTTTTCTCTATATAAACAAATATGAGGTATGCATATTATTCAAAAGAATACGTCATGATTTCTATGTAATAAACAACAATCTGTTTTAATTCTTTATTCACCACTCAATAGATATAAAACTATGATTTAAACGTTTTATTATATTTACATATACATGAATAAATATATATACGTATATACGAAAGTAAAACCTGAAAAAAAGAATAATTTATAAAATTTACACAAATATATACACATTTATACAACCTGTAAAACATATTTTTACTAATGTCAACCTATATTCACAAAAGGTAAAATTTATACCATTATTATTGTAGTAATAAGCAACGCATATTTTTTAAATTCTTTATTCATCTCTTTATAATCATGCATAGTATTACAGAGTATACACTATTGCTTTTACGTAGTATTAAGCAATATTTTTTTATTCTTTATTCATCACTTTTTTATATATATGACACTTAAAAATCGTCCTCATAAATCCCGTCGTTGATGTTGTTGGATCCTATTCCGGTAATGTGGCTGCACAGTCTTAGTAGTTGGGAAGTCGTCATCTCATCATCTTCGTACTTGTCCCAGGCGTCGAATAAGGCTCCATGGATTCGGGCGTATCTTTTACGATGTAGTCTTGTCAAGAGATGCTGCGAAACTAGACGAATTTGAAGATCAACAACCTCAGCCTCCCTCTTCAATAATGGTAGTAACATGTATAATCCCAAGTCCGCACGTCCTGCTCGTGTGTTGATCCTTCTGTGCCATCCTGTAATGAATAATGTCGAAATAAATGTAAAGTTGATTTAGTAAACACACAACGTCAATGATTTCAAAAATAATTTCCTATAATTTTTTATTTAGAAATATATCAAAATATATCAAAATTCACAAATAGACATTTACTAATATATTAATATATTGTATTATAATTGTTTCAGGATCTTACCTTCAACGTCGTTGTTCGTCCGAACGGTCTCACGGAATACACTCCAGTGAATCGGCAGCCACAAACTACCGTTGATCCACGTCCTCTCCACGTACTCCATCACAGCCAATATTGGTCCACCAACTTCCATAGCCTGGGCCATCAGCTGTCGGAAGGCAGGCGGGATCTGCTCACTAGGAAGAAAAGGCAGGGACATGACCTTACGGAGAAATTCATGTTTGTCCTGCTTATCTTGATATGAGGTGGCAAGACCTTCCGCCTGGATCTTCCGATACAGCCTCTGGTTCCAGTGGAAGACACATCCTTTCAGTACACAACTGGGGAACACATGTCTGATTGCTTGCCAAGCAGCTGAAAAATAAAATGATAAATTTTAATTTTTTAATAAACAAGCAAATTCGTTGAATTTATATCCCCCGCCGAGTACTGGTTATTATTAACACAACAATTGAAGACATAAGGCTTTATTTATATATTAATCATGGCATAAACTGTAATATTCTTTGAACTTAAAGCCTTGTACCTTCAAACAAGAAGAATTTTTAAGTTTTCACTATATACATATAAGGAAAATCTATGACCCCCTGGAGTGGGGCCAATTTTGACCCCAGGGCTAAAATTTGAACAATTTTGGTAGAGGACCTATATCCAGACGAAAATACCCAGGTGCACAACTACACATACTGATCAACATTCCTGTAAAGTTTCATGACTCTAGGTCAAATACTTTTTGAGTTACATGCCACACAAGTTGAAAATGACAAAATTTTACTAAGTCAAGGGCAATAACTCTAAAACTACTAAAAATATCCAGACGAAAATACCCAGGTGCACAACTACACATACTGATCAACATTCCTGTAAAGTTTCATGACTCTCGGTCAAATACTTTTTGAGTTACATGCGACACAAGTTGAAAATGACAAAATTTTACTAAGTCAAGGGCAATAACTCTAAAACTACTAAAAATATCCAGACGAAAATACCCAGGTGCACAACTACACATACTGATAAACATTACTGTAAAGTTTCATGACTCTAGGTCAAATTCTTTTTGAGTTACATGGAACACAAGTTGAAAATTACAAAATTTTACTAAGTCAAGGGCAATAACTCTAAAAATACTAAAAATATCCAAACAAAAATACCCAGGTGCACAACTTCACATACTGATCAACATTCCTGTAAAGTTTCATGACTCTCGGTCAAATACTTTTTGAGTTACATGTGACACAAGTTGAAAATGACAAAATTTTACTAAGTCAAGGGCAATAACTCTAAAACTACTAAAAATATCCAGACGAAAATACCCAGGTGCACAACTACACATACTGATATAAACATTCCTGTAAAGTTTCATGACTCTAGGTCAAATTCTTTTTGAGTTACATGCAACACAAGTTGAAAATTACAAAATTTTACTAAGTCAAGGGCAATAACTCTAAAATACTAAAAATATCCAAACAAAAATACCCAGGTGCACAACTTCACATGCTGATCAACATTCCCATAAAGTTTTGTTGAATTCCAGCCATCAGTTGCAGAGAACTACTCCAGAAACGAAATTCTAAGTCAAGGGCAATAACTCTAAAAATACTAAAAATATCCAGACGAAAATACCCAGGTGCACAACTTCACATGCTGATCAACATTCCCATAAAGTTTCGTTGAATTCCAGCCATTAGTTGCAGAGAACTACTCCGGAAACGAAATTCGGACGGACGGATGGACGGACGGACGGACAGAAGGACGGACGGACAAAAATACCCAGGTGCACAACTACACATACTGATCAACATTCCTGTAAAGTTTCATGACTCTCGGTCAAATACTTTTTGAGTTACATGCGACACAAGTTGAAAATGACAAAATTTTACTAAGTCAAGGGCAATAACTCTAAAACTACTAAAAATATCCAGACGAAAATACCCAGGTGCACAACTACACATACTGATTAACATTCCTGTAAAGTTTCATGACTCTAGGTCAAATTCTTTTTGAGTTACATGCAACACAAGTAGAAAATTACAAAATTTTACTAAGTCAAGGGCAATAACTCTAAAAATACTAAAAATATCCAAACAAAAATACCTAGGTGCACAACTTCACATGCTGATCAACATTCCCATAAAGTTTCGTTGAATTCCAGCCATCAGTTGCAGAGAACTACTCCGGAAACGAAATTCTAAGTCAAGGGCAATAACTCTAAAAATACTAAAAATATCCAGACGAAAATACCCAGGTGCACAACTTCACATGCTGATCAACATTCACATAAAGTTTCGTTGAATTCCAGCCATTAGTTGCAGAGAACTACTCCGGAAACGAAATTCGGACGGACGGATGGACGGACGGACGGACGGAAGGAAGGACGGACGGACAACGCCAAAACTATATCCCCCTCCCGATTCCATCGGCGGGGGATAATAAAATAAATTGAACAGAATGACATAGTCATTAATGGTGATTTCTATGTAATGGAAGACTATATATAGAAAATAAAGAAGAAATTAACGACATACCATACGAGTATATGTGTGACCATCACTACTGACGAGTTTCGGTGCCCCACGCTTGGTCCCCCATCTACGAGTTCGAAAGTCAATGGCCTGTCTGGTAGTATTACATCATTTAGTGGAATATCTGTAGGTAATCTAGCGTCAGGAGGGGCCTGCTGTCGGTTGTGGTCTCGTTCATTGATATGAAAGGATCTGTCTTCTAGGTAGGTTGAATTCGTGTTCATGACGGTTGATTCATCTTCTTGCATCTGGTGGACTTCATCGTCTCGGACAACGTACGTGATGTTCATCAGTACATCTTGTAATGGAGAATCTGGTGTATTTTCGGGTGCTTCGTTAACACATCTGTCACAGAACCATTCTAACTCTAGCGTTCCGTTTACCATCTGTCGGTACTGGTCTGCCGTCAAACCAGTACTTCCCCCTGAAACAAAAAATAGAAACAATTGTTATATATGAGTCTATGAAGTTCTCTATATAAGTGCTATCAATAGATTAGAAAATGACAATTGTTGTAAATAAAATTTGTATATTCAATAATTTTTAGATATAACATATATATGCTAATTAAATATAAAGTTAAAGAATTCAGTTCATATTACATTTTAAAAAAACTCAGTTTAAATTTCATTAAGTATTTAACCTAAAATGAAAGTTATTTACCTTTCTTGCACTTCCTGTGCTGCCAGTTTGCGCATCCGTCAACAAACAGCATTGCTGCCGCATGGTGACCATCTCGGAGCAGTTAATACAGTTAAATACGTTATCAGCCATGATTGCTAATGACAGAATCGTAAATTGTTAACCTTTTATATTGATATATCTTGAAGACATGCATCACTTTCATATCTAACTGTGGAACTTTGTTGTCAGTTTTAGGCAAACACGCACGCCTATTACAACATTTCAACACCTTTATGATATATGATTAGTGTTAACTGATCGGCTGATAAGACAAACAAACTTTCTCTGTCATCAATTATAAACAATTGATTTATTTCGTAAAACAAGCCCTAACTAAACAATTAATTTTGCAAACAAAATAATATTGATTTTTTTTGTAATTTATTCTTGACTCAAAAATAATTTATCAAATAACGAAAATTTTTTTTCAAAATAAGTATAATATATAAACATACTTCTACATACTTCTACAACATATTCTGTTCATTAATGATATTTGCGTCATAAACTAATTATAACAAAATATTGATGATAAAAACACTATATATATGAACCACGTCTACTTTGCCTTTAATTACTATATAACATCTGTTAGACGAAACCACTTTCGCACCTCTTCATAAATTAAGTTAGCCGAACCGGTAGTTAGACGAAACCACCATAATTCTAAATGGCGGCGCCTAACTAGAACTGACACTGAAAATTTAATTGATAGGTATAGAATTCTATATATTTTTAATTGTTTTTTATTTGATTTTCTTTTAAATATACACGTGTAGTCTATAGACTAGCAAGCCAAATCCCGGGCCCACTTTGCGGGCCCTGACTTTGACTTCCCTGTATAAAATATTTTTTTTTATTTTTCCTTAAAAAAAGTGTACGACACCGGGTACACTGACTCTAATTTAGAAAATAATCTTCTAGAATAGACACAAGTGTTGGTATAATAACATCTAATATCAATTATCCAATTGAATACAATTATCCAATTGAATATCAGAGAAGGAAGGAGAAGAGATAACCTGGAAAATGCTTAGAAATATACGTGGTCAAACTTCTAAGAAAACAATGGGGTGGAGATTGCTCATAGACATAGTTGTCAATAGATGTTTTCACTTAAACAATAGGAACATTTGTCAGCGTTTATCTTGATTAATTTTAAGAGGAAAATGTTGAAAGGAACAGGATACAATCCTTTTCAATCAATAGTTCTCCTGCCTTTGACACAATAAACAGCTTTGAAATCATTATTCACATCTCACATACACAGCAGAATACTACATCCTCATCCGGGCAATTTAGAATTTTGGGTAATTGACAGGTCTCGCTTTCAACGAGATAACGGGAACGTAACGAGATCTGGAAAGAAATGCATAGAATTTCTGTGAATCTTGCATACATTTTACAATTTTCTGCATTTCACACTTAAAATCATAAACCGACAGCCACCCATAATTGAAGGAAATTACTTCATAGTTCTAAAAGAGGTAAGTAGAAAGATATTTGTGACGACGTAAAGCTAGAAAATAATTTGAACTTCCTCAAGAGTAAATATTTTTGGCAAGCTGACAGTTCATGCAGTTCGACATGTTCGAGTGGTTGCACTGGTTCAGAAGTATTGAACACGCACTGTATGTTAACTTATATTGTATAACGGAATCATATTTAAGTATTTAAAAACGTTAACCGGCATATATTGTAGATGATTGCCAAATCGTCTGGTCAAGAGCAAACAATCGCCTCCAGGATTATAAATCAAATTTATGCCAAATTATCATGATTATGGCAATGTCTAGTTGTTAAATTAATTATTTAATATGAATAAAACAAAGCCTCACATACAGAATTTACTATACATATGTTATAACACTATCATGATTTATGTATTCATTAATCCCACCAGCTGCAATCATTTTACAAGTCTGCATACTGTTCGGCCGAAGAATTCACTCGGCGCTATTTTTTCGGGCAGACGGACATTTCACTATTGGGACGGTTCACACCAAGACGTTTCACTCCCATTTGGGAGTGGAACGTCTTGAAGACGTTTCACTCCTTTTTTATGCCAAAATTATTCTGATACTTCTGACATACTAAAATATACCGTAAATTTAATAAAAATAAATTAAAAAATTTAAAGGGGTTTTCACTTTGTCCATTCACGAATTCGAAAACCTAGCTAAACGCCATTTTCTGGTTCTTTCTGTACATAGCTCTGGGGAATTCACCTAATTAGAGTGCAATACTCTATGTTCTTTGCCTTTTTTAATTAAAGTGAAATAAAACAGTTATTTCTTTGTAAGAAAATAATTAAATATCACTGTATGAATAATTCCATACAAAAAAATAAAGTAATACACAAGTTTACACAGAAATATCTTTATTTATTATGGTTTGTTTAATGGCTACTGTTTAATAAATTCATAAAGAAATAATTAAAAAAAAAATTGATTTTATACACTTTTTTTTTTGCATTTCATATAGTTTTAGACTTACAAAAAGTAATAAATGTATTTAATAAATTTTCATTTTTATGTTATTCTATTTTTTAATCCATTATAAATAGAATTTTCTCATGTTGTTAAAAATTAAATTTTAGAAATTGTCTTTCATTTAAACCTCTCATCATTCAGCCCATAATTAAATGAGTAATCTTCTAATAATTTATCATTATGTCCTCATTGAAACCAATATATTCACTCCTAATAACATGAATTATTCAAAACACTGTTTAAACAGAACAAAATTCACTTTTCTGAGTAGATACTAAACTGTTTAGATTATATTATTTACACATTCTGTAACATTTCATATTTTTTTTCTTCAAATTCATGAATTCTTATTAACAATACCCTCAATATCAATAAAAATTAAACATAAAATTTAATTTCCCCTAAATATTAAATGAAAAAAATATTTGTTAGCTTTCCTAAATTATCATAAAGTTTTTAAAAAAAATGGGAGTAAAACATCCGTACAATTACAAATTGGGAGTGAAACATCTAGTTGTGAACCGTCTTGGGAGTGAAACGTCTCAATAGTGAAATGTCTTGGGAGTGAAACGTCTGGCATTCATTTCTTATTTTAAACTGTATGCTAATCTAAATTGAACCCACCTGTTGGAGAACATATTTGCTTGAAATCAAATTTTAGTATTAGTAATTTCATTTTGGCGAAAAAGATAGACTTCATAATGAAACTGGAGCCTACCGAAAGTTGATATTGACTGGTGTCTGTCTCTAATTATTCTATATTTTTTATCAAGTTGCGTTAAATAGGTAATTTATTAGCATGTAATTGTAATTTATCATTTATTGTTCTATAAAAAGCATTGTAGCAATATGTGACTCATGTATGGCTAATAGTTATATATAGATATATAGTTTTATGCACTTTAATGCATAAGTCACTATACTATATATAATAATTTTTTGTTGTTATTAATTCTTTCTTTACAAGAAACAACTTACTTTAATTCAAGTTATTAATAAATAATAAATCATATTTTTGTTCAACTCTTCTTTTTATGTGATAGGTGTGTAGGGGTGTGAGATGAATCCCTCAGAGGAGCAGTCAGTTGTGAAAGAGGGATATCTTTGGAAGAGAGGTTTGTGTACAAATAATAATTATTGATAAAAAGATTTTAATTTTTCAACAACCTTTTAACTCAACATCCTGTTACTTTCATCATATGATCATGAGCAGAAATTCTCTCATTAAATGTTGCCAACAGTGTAACTTAAGTTAATGTCAATATATGAAAAGAGCTACCAAAATACTTATTAGGGGATCTACCTATCTTACAAATACATTTCTATAAAATATAATAGGAACACATCAAACAAAGCTCAGTTAATCATAGCATTTTGTTTTGAATGATATGAACAAATGTAGTTGTATAAAATTTGTCTTATATGGCCAGTACAAGATAAAGACATCAAAACTGATTTAATTTGATAATTTACAATCTTATATTTGAAGAAAAAAAATATTTCAGGGGAACATATCAAGAATTGGAGGAAAAGATATTTTATCCTGAGGAAAGATGGGTCATTTTTGGGATTTCGTGCAAAACCAGATCATGGTTTCAGTGATCCTCTGAATGATTTTACTGTGAGAGGTAAAATTTATATCTACATTAAATAATCCAATGCTTGAAATGAATTTAACCTTTAAATGCTTCAATCTCTTTTTCCTTCAAATGATGAAATATAGGAGAGTATTAAAGAAGTAAAGGAGGGGTTACCATCATTGGCTATGAAATTATAAGTGTATAATTAGATAAAAGATCAAACATTTTTTTTTACAATTCTAGTGGTAGTGTATCATATGTTTTACTGTGAATATTCAAATTGTTTGTGGACTGTGGCTCTACCCTTGACATCTTTGAATAAAATTTTTGTGAAAATCATGAAAAAAAAGGGTAACCAGACCCGATGCATGCTCACAATACAACAAAATTTTATGACGTTTGTGACTTCGCAAAAAAAACTTGTCATCAGTGTCACTGTTTTTGAAGTAATCTCACAAGTGTTTAATGTCTCCAGATCATATAACTATAATCAGGTCTTGTTTGTAATGGTGATGTGGGAAAGAAAGCAGTCACCTTTCTCTCCACTTACTGCAGAAATGTCTTGGGAGTGGCAATGTACACAGAAATAACAAGAAGTGGGTTTTAATTTGTCAAGTCAAGACTTTGGTCATGGCAATATGTTATTTACATAATTTTTAATTATAGAATGTCAGTTGATGAAACAGGAGAAGCCACGTTCTAACACATTCTTAATAAGAGGTCTACAGTGGACTACAATTGTGGAACGTATGTTCTGTGTAGAAAGTCCCGAGGAAAGGGAAGATTGGATGCAGGCAATCAGATCAGTGTCAGAAAATCTAAAAATGATAGACGAGGAGAGTGGCGGGGCAGCTAGTAGCAACAGTCTAGAGAAAGCAAAGAAGAAAGTGGTATGACTAATATACAAGTAATTAATGTACTGAAGTTGGTTTAATGTCAATTTGTACAAAGTTGATATAATGAGAGAGAAAAGAAACAACATATCATTTATCAAGATAATCTATTTGAAGTTTGAGTGTAGAAGAATTTTAGTATAATTTATTCCACATTAAAAATCGATATTGCTTAATGGTGAAGTAATGGTTGAAAAATATTTTCACAATTTTAAATCATCAAGAACATACACGCTCTCCTATCATGTTAAATTATTCTGGACAGATCAAGTTCTTCTCTCTAAGCTTGTAATGTTACAACTTGAATTCTTGCATCAAAACTGTGCAAGTAGGTATAAATCAAAGAACAAAATCAGGTGAGCACATGCCGTTATTGAGTGGTTTTGTTTTTGTTTTTTTTTAAATATGTATGACTTAGGTCACCATGTAATGTTAGTTTTCTGCATTAATGCACTTAAAAATTCACATAAAAACATTTGATTGACATTGCTCAAGCACATGAAAAGCATGACATAAATGGTTTCTTAATATGTAAAACAAATTATGAAATATCAGACATAATTATGCCCCCATTTCGAAGAAAAGGGGGTATATTGCTTTGCACTTGTCGGTCCGTCGGTCCGTAGACCAAATGGTTTCCGAGTGATAACTAAAGAACCCTTAGGCCTAGGAACTTCAAACTTGGTATGGTGATTGGTCATGACCAGTAGATGACCCCTATTGATTTTGGGGTCAAGGGGTCAAAGGTCAAGGTCACATTGACCTTGTAAGCAAAAACGGTTTCCGATCAATAACTAAAGAACCTTAAGGCCTAGGAACTTCAAACTTGGTATGGTGATTGGTCATGATCAGTAGATGACCCCTATTGATTTTGGGGTCAAGTGGTCAAAGGTCAAGGTCACATTGACCTTGTAAGCAAAAACGGTTTCCGATCAATAACTAAAGAACCTTAAGGCCTAGGAACTTCAAACTTGGTATGGTGATTGGTCATGATCAGTAGATGACCCCTATTGATTTTGGGGTCAAGGGGTCAAAGGTCAAGGTCACATAGACCTTGTGAGGAAAAAACGGTTTCCGATCAATAACTAAAGAACCTTAAGGCCTAGGAACTTCAAACTTGGTATGGTGATTGGTCGTGATCAGTAGATGACCCCTATTGATTTGGGGTCAAGGGTCAAAGGTCAAGGTCACATTGACCTTGTGAGCAAAAACGGTTTCCGATCAATAACTAAAGAACCTTAAGGCCTAGGAACTTCAAACTTGGTATGGTGATTGGTCGTGATCAGTAGATGACCCCTATTGATTTTGGGGTCAAGGGGTCAAAGGTCAAGGTCACATTGACCTTGTGAGCAAAAAACGGTTTCCGATCAATAACTAAAGAACCTTAAGGCCTAGGAACTTCAAACTTGGTATGGTGATTGGTCGTGATCAGTAGATGACCCCTATTGATTTTGGGGTCAAGGGGTCAAAGGTCAAGGTCACATTGACCTTGTAAGCAAAAACGGTTTCCGATCAATAACTTAAGAACCTTAAGGCCTAGGAACTTCAAACTTGGTATGGTGATTGGTCGTGATCAGTAGATGACCCCTATTGATTTTGGGGTCAAGGGGTCAAAGGTCAAGGTCACATTGACCTTGTAAGCAAAAACGGTTTCCGATCAATAACTTAAGAACTTTTAGGCCTAGGAACTTCAAACTTGGTATGGTGATTGGTCATGACCAGCAGATAACCCCTAATGATTTTGGGTTCAAGGGGTCAAAGGTCAAGGTCACATTGACCTCTTAGGTAAAAACGGTTTCCGATCAATAACTAAAGAACCCTTAGGCCTAGGAACTTCAAACTTGGTATGGTGATTGGTCATGACCAGCAGATGACCTTTTGATTTTGGGGTCAAGGGGTCAAAGGTCAAGGTCACATTGACCTTGTAGGTAAAAACGGTTTCCAATCAATTAACTAAAAACGCTTAGGCCTAGGAACTTCAAACTTTGTATGATGATTGGTTGTGACATGCAGATGACCCCTATTGAGTTTTGGGTCAAGGGGTCAAAGGTCAACTTCACATTGACCTTGTAAGTAAAAACGGTTTCTGATCAATAACTTAAGAACACTTAGGCCTAGGAACTTCAAACTTAGCATGGTGATTTGTCATGACCAGCAGATTACCCCTATTGATTTTGGGGTCAAAGGTCAAGGTCACATTGACCTTGTATGTTAAAACGGTTTCCAATCAATAACTAAAGAACCCTTAGGCCTAGGAACTTCAAACTTGGTATGGTGATTGGTCATGACCAGCAGCTGACCTATTGATTTTGGGGTCAAGTGGTCAAAGGTCAAGGTCACATTGACCTTGTAGGTAAAAACGGTTTCTGATCAATTAACTAAAAACGCCTAGGCCTAGGAACTTCAAACTTTGTATGATGATTGGTCGTGACCAGCAGATGACCCCTATTGAGTTTTGGGTCAAGGGGTCAAAGGTTAAGGTCATGACCAGTAGATACTTGATAACCCTTATTAATTGTTTGATCATTGGGTCAGAAGTCATGCATAATAACTTTATCACATGACTAATTGGCTGCTGATAGGGGGCATACATGTTTTACAAACATATCTTCTTATACCTTTATTCGAGGATAGGGCTAATGCACCTTTTTATGTGCATAAGCATCTGCAGATGCTCTTGCACTTACAAAATCCTGCAGGCTTGGCTTGATTCCTCTTTATGCTTCTGCAGATGTTAATGCATAAAAAGACACATTAACCCTCATGTACAACAGTCTTTTCACACAAATTAGTTGAAGGTGATAACAAAAATTTCTGCATATGTTGCATTTTTTTGCTGTTTCAGAGCCTGGATGACTTCCAGTTCTTGAAAATGTTGGGTAAAGGAACATTTGGCAAAGTGATTTTGTGTAAAGAAAAGTCAACAAGCCATTTGTATGCAATCAAAATTTTAAAGAAGGCTGTGATAATACAAAAGGTAATGTACCAGCAACATAAAACTATTTAAAGTCTCATTATTAATCAAAATAAGAGGCTTTTTCTTAGTTCTTGGTATTGTATATGAGTTACATATATAAAGTATTTTATCCAAATCAGTACCGGTATTCAGGACTTTATTAAATTACTATCGATAACTTAGAGTGTTAACAAAACTTTATATGTATATAAAATACTTTAACATTAAGTTCACTTCAATAAAAGAATCTTTAAATTCCTTATTTCCAAGTAAAAGTGAAAGTTGATGTTGAAGAATATGCTATTGAATTATTTTATAGTTTCCTAGAAAAACAAGAAAAGTGCTATTTAGAAAGTTGTAAAGAAAACCACAGCATTTATTTTGATAATGATAAGTTTAATATTACAGGATGAGGTTGCACATACTTTAACAGAGAACAGAGTATTACAAACAACAAAACATCCGTTCTTAACTGTAAGTGTTTGTTAGGGTGTGTTTAGTATCATTGATTTGATAACAATTTATTAAATGTGATAGAATTCTTGAAAACAGTAGTAATCTAAATCAGATTTTTATGTAACTGAGCATTACATAGTTCGATATCTGTTTTCCTTTTTTTTCGCTAAAGATACATTTTGTCTGTCAAAACATTTTGACTGTCAAAATAATGTTTGTCTGTCAAAATAAATTTTGTGTGAAAAGTTGTCTTTCCCAATTTTTTTTTCAGTGCAATTGGACAGCAAAATAATGAAGAAAATGTGCTTAATTGAGAACATTGTGCAAAGTGGTTGTAATTCATGACATAATGAAGACTTTACAACCCTTTCATTACAAGCCCATAAAATGTTGATCTTTAATTATTGATTAGAATACATTTTAAGGACATTCTTCCATGAATCTTAACATAATAATTGTATAATGAAAAAAATACTTTCTCTACACATCTGAACTAAGAATTTGTCAGATCCATGTCAAGATGGTGTCAGATATTTTATTTAAGGAATATTAAGAAAGAATTCTTTCTTGTATTTATGCTGTTGATAGTAGTAAAATGGGATATTAAAATGAAATTAAATAGATCTGCCTAATTTAAATTCATTATTGTTTTCTTCCTTCAACATTTCAGCAACTGAAGTATTCATTTCAAACCCCAGACAGATTATGTTTTGTGATGGAGTATGTGAATGGTGGGGAGTTGTTTTTCCATTTATCTCGAGAACGGGTATTTGCCGAGGAGAGGACCAAGTTTTACGGAGCAGAAATTATTTCTGCTTTAGGATATCTTCATGAAAATAATATTGTCTATAGAGATTTAAAGGTAGAAATATTGGTCACAATTGTTTATGTATGTACATATGCATACAATTAATGCCCTGTCAAATAGTTAATACTTCTAGGGTATGTCACAAAACTAGCTTAACTTGCTCATTAAGTTTAGTGACAAAAGTGTTTGAATTAAGATTTAGCTATGTTGATATGCTGAAATATGGCAGAGATTGATTTAAGTTTTTAGCAGCCGTGTTTTGAAATTTTAATTCCCCTGTAAAATGACCTAGCAGTTGTTTACAAAAATATGAGTCTGCTTATTGACAATATTTATAATGTGTAATTCTGGAGGGTTTTAAAGTAACATTTTGCATAAAATTTGAAAAAGTCCTTTAGAACTTTGTTGAAGACTTGGAAAGGTATAAAGAATCCGGTAATCAGGAGGTGGCATATTTTGTTGTTGTTTCAGCTGGAAAACTTGTTATTAGACAAAGATGGTCATATAAAGATAGCTGATTTTGGGCTATGTAAAGAGGAGATGTTTTTTGGGGCCAGTACTAAAACATTCTGTGGTACTCCAGAGTATCTAGCACCAGAGGTTTGTGACTTTATCTGTAATTTATTACTTGTAACCCTAACCATGCTAAATATCTTAAATGGACTTGTCCATTTTTCATTCTGGACAAAACCATTCATCATTTTTAGGGGAAATTTCTAAATATGTCCTGACTGACTAGCGAATAATGCAAGCTGTGATCAGATGGCACATCAGTTCTGTCTGATCTTGGTTAGCATTTGTTGAATGGGTAGAATCTACTGTCAGGACATCTAAACCCCCTTTTTCTTGTGTTTCTTAAAATGAATAAATTGCTTATATAATTAAAAGTGACATACTTCCATTTTGTAGAAACTATTATATTTTATGTAGTGCTAAAGGGAATTAAAGGTTTCCAGGTGTCTCCCCAAGTTTATTTTTTGGGGATATTTGAAAAATCATTAGGAGTACTAGATAGTTATTTGCATTTCAAGTATTGAAGTATGTATGTAAGTATTAAAGTATGTATACTGTTACATTTTTAAAAAGATTTTAACTTTTTCATGATTTGTTCTCTTATCAGTAGTTCTTTGTTTCTCTGGTATTTGTATATAAATATAGATAAAATACACCAAAAACAACACATATTTGTATATGAATATAGGTATTAGAAGATAATGACTATGGTCGTGCAGTAGATTGGTGGGGTACTGGTGTTGTCATGTATGAAATGATGTGTGGTAGACTTCCATTCTATAACAGAGATCATGATGTGTTGTTTGAACTTATATTATTACAACAAGTGAAATTCCCTAGGACATTATCAGAAGATGCTAAAAGTTTACTAGGTGGAATGCTGGTCAAAAATCCAAAAGAAAGGTGATTTATTACTTGATTTACATTAATGTAAGGAAGCTTTCCTGTTCGCTTTAAGATGGTGATGGTTCTACTCAGATGAAAGGAAGTGCCTGAAAAAAGTCTCAAAGGGTCATCTAAGGGTCACTTACTGTGGTGATCTGAAGTTTTCCTACATCATTAATGCTAAAAAGTAGTCATATGACCTTTATAGAGTCTGTGTGACTTTTAACGTAACATATAACTTTTTGTATAAAGTAAGAATCTTTTTGCCTTATTAGTCCCCTACCGGTTTACCGGAGGGGACTTTAGGTTTACCCTCCGTCCGTCTGTCCGTCCGTCTGTCCGTCAGTCTGTCTGTCAGTCCGTCAGTCCGTCCGTCCGCAAAACTGGATCCCGCGATAACTTGAAAAGTAATGAAAATATTTTTATGAAACTTGGTATATGGATAGATGGCAGTATGGAGATTATGCACGTCTTTTTCTTTTCTTCCTATGTTGAAAATTCTGGTTGCTATGGCAACAAATAGGCTGAAAATATGGCAAATTTTACACATAAACTGGATCCAGTGATAACGCAAAAAGTACTGGAAATATTTTTATGAAACTTTACATATAGGTAGATGGCAGTCTTGAGATTATGCACGTCTTTTTCTTTTCTTCCTATGTTGAAAATTCTGGTTGCTATGGCAACAAATAGGCTGAAAATATGGCAAATTTTACACATAAACTGGATCCAGTGATAACGCAAAAAGTACTGGAAATATTTTTATGAAACTTGACATATGGGTAGATGGCAGTCTTGAAATTATGCACGTTTTTTTCTTTTCTTCCTATGTTGAAAACTCTGGTTGCTATGGCAACACATAGACTGAAAATATGGCAAATTTTACACATAAACGGAATCCAGTGATAACTCAAAAAGTACTGGAAATATTTTTATGAAACTTGTTTTATTATGTTTTGTGGTCGATATTTTCAAATACAGACTTCATCCTCAAATTCATTATAAATGGCAATACACAGGAGTGTATGACAATTAAAGAACTTTTTGAGGGACCGGTAGGGGACTACTGTATTGCCCGCAATACTATCAAATGCTTGTTTTATATTATTTGTAATCAATTGTAAGACACGAACTTCTTTCAATATGTAAGGTTGGAAATTTTTTTCATAACTTTGTTTATTTTCTTCTATAAAAGTGTAGGTTTTACATATTCTTTTTAAAGTTAGAAATGTAGTCAAGCATTGATATTCTTAAAATGTTGAAGGCATCTATCTTGTAATGATACCAATATGTCCTTGGTAGGGAAAGCATTAAATTAATATTTGACTATTTCACAGATTGGGAGGCGGTGAAGCAGATGTCAAAGATCTCATGGCTCATCCATTCTTCAAAAATATAAACTGGCAGGATTTAGTTGAGAAAAAGGTGAGTGTTACTATAGTTACAATAATTGATATTCATTTTAACTTTCTGCTTTGTGCTGTCATTGTGCTGTTAGTATTTGTTAATGATATACTAGGACTTCAAATTTAAAAAACAAAAAGTAATTATATCCCTTGAGTAAGAATTTTTTGAGAAAAATTGACTTGTATTTCATTGAAGAAAGTTTATGTTGTGTACAGATATTATCTCCCTTGAATAAAATTTACTTATTGTGAATATATTTTGAGAACAGTCTTAACGTTACTTCAATTTTAGTATAATTGTTTGAATTGGGAAAGATATTTGAATTAATATTTTATGGAGAGAAGAGAAGAAATCTAGATCATTGAACATTGGGCCAAATAAAGTATCTTAAATGTGAATTATAAAGTTGATATCAGCTGATGTATCTATAAAAACATAAATTAACTGACCTTAAAAAACAATGAGTAAGTTGAGAAATCTGTGAATCTCTTACAATGTAAAGTAACTATACAAGTTTTAAAAATGGCATACTTTTTGATGTTTTGTTTTTGGAGTGAATGTACACGCATCTGGATTTATTAATTTATTACTCCAAGTAGCATGTCAAAAGCCTGATCCTAGTATAGAAGAAACTTACTACTTTAAATAACCTGTATACTGAGCATGTAAACAATTCAATTCTTGTCCTACCAGTATAGAACTGGCAGAGATTGCATCACTAATAATAAAGTTGGTTTGATAAGTACACCCTCGCATGGTCAAGTCCTGTTTGTTTCTTCTTTTTTTTCTTAAAAAAATGCAGTCACTAAATATTCATTAGATTATAGTTATTTCATACAATGTCTCACTGACTATTCATGATTCTAAATGCTTTTATTGTACAGCAAGGCTTTTTATATAGTATATTTTCATGACATAACTCGATTTGTTCAAGTTTGGAAGAATTGTTGTTAGCATTGTAACAGCTTTTAGAGAACTAAAGACTTAATAAGAAGATTGCTGCAAGAAATAAAGATAGATGGTGCGAGTGTCAGTCAACGAGGGGCCTCTTGGAAGGTTAAGAGCATCATTTGGTTCTCTTTCAGGGCCTCATACCAACTAACCTGTCAATCATTGTAACAAATTGTGAGTCATAATCTTGAGACAGAAATGAAACTGGGGGTATTTATTTATAATGATGCTTATATAAAATTTAAAGAGTGAATGTTAACATGTAAGGATTAGTATTTATATGTACTACTTAAAGTAATATTCTTTGCTAAGGGATGTTCATGATGCATGCACTTTAACCAAATTTTGACCTAATATTGTGACTGTGCAGTGTTTCCTTTTATTACAAAAATAATCACATGAAAAGGCAAACCTAAAAAATAAGGTTTTGATACTCAAAAGCCAATTTCTTTTAAGTAAGATCAGTTATAGATCAATGGGTTGTAAATCTTTAATATGGCACATGCAAAACATGGTTATGAGTCTGCTAAATTAACTCAGTAAAAAAGCAAAAGTGCTTAAAATAAGTTAAATCAGAAATTTTACTCAAGAGCGTGGCAGGTGTTTTATAGGGGTGTGGATCGTCGGATAAGTGACGATCCAATCCGAACCACGATGCAGCACTTACGATTCACAAATCGAACCACAAATCTTTTGTTATCAAGACACCCATAAAATATGTACATAAGTTATAAAAACATGTTTATAAAAAACAGAAAAAAACAATACTAATATAAAACATAAAATATAAACAAGGTTTATAATTTTATTCTTTGGATGGGTATTTTTGTTTTGTTTTAGAAAACAATTATTTCCTAGCTCAGCATCATGGTACATTAACCAGCAAATTGTATGTAGGTAAACTTCATATGATTTATACTCAAATCGTATTTCTATCGATTTAAGTGTGTGAGAAACAGTGGATGTATAAAAAAAATTAAATCGCAATCCACGATCTCTGGGCTTACGAATAATAAAACTCGATTTTTCACTTTGATTCGTGATTACCCGAGTACTCGGATACTCGCCCCAGCCCTAGTGTTTTACTATGTGTCTTGTGTAATTTGTCTTCCACTGCATTTGCAAATGAATAATGCAGACATCATCTTTTTGAAGAAAGAACAGCTTAATACTGGGACAATGTCAAGTGATTGATATATTGATATATATTTTGCTAATCAGAACAATTTCTGCCATTGATAGAAGTATTTTTAATTTAGATGCTGATACTGAATGTAGAAAGAAGCAAAGGCATCTTGCATTATGGGAAAAATTTTAAGACTGCCCGGTCAACTTGACATTTAAACTTTGGGGGGAAAATCAATAAATAAGCATTTCTGCAAAAAGTAAATTTTCATTTGATGGAAAAAAGGTAAATGATATAAGTGATGGAGTTGTAGTTTATCAATATATACACCTGTCAAATTTTTGATTGCCTTGTCCAGACATTAACATAAGTTGATTTGCAGTTAAAGTTTTGATTACATTAACAAGTTTTAATGTTTGAATAGTGGATATATCTTTCAGAAATATTAAGTTATTTAATTTCACTAGACAGATACTTATGACCGAAAATGAGGTGATATTTTTTCTACAGAGTTCTTGAGTTTTAACTTTGTTAACTAGTTATTTATGTCCATCCTGATATAAAAGTTTTCAATGAAACCAAATATAACCGCCCTTTCACTCTTCAGTGTTTTTCTTTGTAATAATAATGGACCTTGTCTTACAATGCTAACAGATTTGGGGTGGCTGACTTAAAAACACTTAACAAGGATTGCTTTAAATATCATAGTAGAACTGTTGAGGAATCTTTTACCAAGGTGCTCATTCTTACCTGAATTTATGTATGACTACATACATTGTGCCTTTCTATGCCGGTAAAGCATGTACAAATAATATACAACTTACAAATGATTGGTGAACATTGTAGAGAAGCAAATACATGTTTATTTATCATACTGAATTTATATTTGTTCTGACAAATGATTGAACAGAATTAGTTGAATGAATATGACTATAGCAATTATGAAGCATGTGTAGGTAGTCTTTGGAAATTTTGAAAAAGGAAATTTGAAGCATTATATTTGATACACATATATCTAGTTTATTGAATTATTAGAAAATCTTTTTATTTGTTCTATTTTTATTTTATTTTTCACTGTTGGTGATAAGTTAATATTTCTGAAGTATTATGAGGGAATTAATATAGGCATCTTGCATTATGGGAGAATTTTCCATGATGAAATTGTTTTAGGTTTTATTTCCCAATTAAAAAAAAAATAAATGTACATAGGTACTTGCGGGTTGGCATTTTACCAAGAATACTTATTTCAGTTATATCAAATTTCTCAAGGATTTCTAAATGTTTGTATTTATCTTCCTCAAAAAAGAGTTGGGAATGAAATATCAGATGACATATTATAGCTTGCAGTTACTTTCTTTAATAAAATTTATAAATTTAGAGCTTCATGCAACACATTGAGATTTTATAAAACTGTATTTATAATTTCCAAGATCAGTCTAATTAGAACTTTAATTTAGGAATATGAAAACTGGCCATTTATGTAATAAAACTTTAAAATTATGAACTTTATGTTTAATATAGAAGGAATGTTACAGGTAAAACAAAATACAAATGTCTATGAAGTAATCAAAGGAAATTCATTAGTTATCAATTTTTTTTTAATTAAGATAAAAGAATGTTTGATTGTTCTTTTTGAATCAGGGCCTCCATGGCCATGTGAATAATGTTGTTGAATTTGAACTTATTGCCCTTCACTGCTGTGGTTTAAACCCCAAAAAGGGCATTGAAGAATTCAATGTAGACAGCTATCCAGCTAGTTTACAGACTATTGGTGTTTCTACACAGATTTGGATCATGTTTAAAAAATTGACAAAAAATCACTTTGGTTTGTTTGATTTGAACACAGTGGCCCAAACCAAAATCTTCGTTTGAAATAAAATCTTTAGTTTATTAAGAAATATGGCATTTTCATTTAATCAGACACACATTATTAAGATTCTTTCCTGCATGATTATATGTACTAACTTGTTCGTTATATTGACTTACATGTTTGTAAGGTGTTCTTTTGCAAAATGAACAGAACTTTGGGAATTTCCTTTTACCATAGTGTGACTAACATACTCTCTAATATAAAATTCTCTTGTGTCTTTTTGATTTTAATCCTTTTTTTTTCATTGATAACTCCTTTAGCTTCTTTTAAAATTCTTTAGCTTCCTTTAAAATTCTTTGTCTTCATTTTATACTCCTTGCCCCCTTTATTTAGTATTTTGGACTAGAATTCCATTGGCCCTAATCCAAACTTCTGTTCATGAAGATTTTCCCTTCTGCAGGTATTGACATGCATTTGTAAAATTTATTTTGATTGTAATTTATGTTATTTTAAAGCTGGAATTTATGTTTCAAATTTATTTCAAAGCTGTGGTAAATTTCTTTCAAGAAAGGAAAGTTAAAGCTGCAAATTGGCATGTGTGAGACTAAAAAAAATTTTTGTTTTGATTAAGACTTGTTGTTAAATTACAGTTTCAAAATTAGAATGATAATACAAAAAAAGAGCTAAAAACAAATTGAGCTCTCGAATAAATACCTGCATAGTGGAATTATCATTATTTTCAGTTTCTTTCCCATAAATTCCCTCTTTGATCATTCATATTCCCGTTTCATTTCTGTCTCAGGTCCCACCCCCTTTCAAGCCCCAGGTGACCTCAGAGACTGACACTCGCTACTTTGACGACACTTTTACTGCGGAGCCAGTCAGCCTGACGCCACCACAAGCCTCTCATGTACTGGAGAGTATCGATGAAGAGACAATGGATACAGGAATGCCGTATTTTGAACAGTTTTCGTATCATGGGAGCAAATCTAGTTTGGCGTCTAGTGTAATGAGTTTTGAAACTACATGGTCAGCATGAGAAGCTTTTGATACGCAAGAAGATGTTCAAGTTTTGACAAAGGATGTTTGCATGCATGTAAAAATAAGATTTTGTCAGAATATCGTGTAAAATGATGAAATTATTGGGATTTTTTTCTCACATAGATTGAAGACTTGATTAATTATGAAATGGAAATTTTGTTTATGAAAATTTCGTTAATGAAATTTTAACAATTTTATGATTTGAATAAGACATGTTTTCAACATGTTCTTTTTTATGCATATGTATAAATGTAAATTTGATGAAACTAAAGTTGCATTCAGTTATGAACAGAAGCAAAAACTGTGTCTGATTTTGATATTATAATGTATTATTAAATCCCTTCTTGATAAGAAAGAGTAAGAGTTAAAAAAAGAAAACTTCAAAAATTTATGAGATTTTGGTCGTTTCAATTAAGAATCTATTATCAGTTTTTACTACTCTTTAGCTTTCAATTGAAAAAAAAGCAAATCCGTTTTTTTTTTCAAGTCTTAGAATAGGAATTATATATTGTTATGAATTGTAGATTTGTGCATGAATATTGTTGTTGGCCAGTGAATATCAAGACATGTACAACAAATACATTGTTCATTGTGGTGATATTATTTTAAGCATCTACTCTGTATTGTTAAATGTCCATCCAGTTTTCTGTGTTTTCACCACATGAATATAATTATATATTAAAAACACACATTTTATTACAGTATATTTTGAATATAAAAAATTAAGTTGTAAAATTTACAACAATCATATTTTCAGGTAATATAATATTTTTTGCTTTTAACTTAGAAAAGCTTTTTTTAAATTGGGATTATTTTTTCTTATTGTTAACTGTAATTAGACAAAAACATGAATAAGAAAGAAGTTATTTTACATTGTTCATGCCTTATAAAATTTAATATGCTCTTGCAAATGGCTAAACGGCTAATGGAACTAATGTTTTTCCATAGTGCATTGATCATTTGAATGAATTTAAGTGCAAAAACAATTTTCAAAATTCAGTTTTAACATGCTTTAGTATTATTTTTGTATATTACCTCTAGTGTTTTTTTTTTGTAAATCCATTAAGCAATACATTTTATATACCATTTTTTAAGCCAACATAGTTTACAGATTAAATTTTGAATTTATAAGGTAGTCATTCCTTAATGACAATCATCAATGACTGTATTAAAATGTATGATGATGCAATATATGCATACCCCACCCACTGCTGTATCAACTAACATGTGATTAATAGTTAAATATCAGAAGTCTACGTCCATCATAAGGTCGTAAAAAATTGGCATTTTCTTCACTTTTCATGTTTTATATACATGTATAAAGATCATCAATTTGCCAAGGTCCTACCAATCTTGTCTGTTGACAACATTCTGGATACATAAAAAAATACAAACATTTTAAGAAGTTTGGCAGATTTTTTATGATCTGTTGATGGATGGAATAAGTTTAAAGCCATGGTTGATAGTCTAAAAGACATAGTGATGTAAATGATAGAGAGACACAAGAAGGTATGGTGCCTTGAACAGGCCAAAATATTACAAATTTACCTCATTTTGCTGATTTATATGCTTACCGACTGCTAAAATTTTAGATGGTTTATTTTCATGATAGTGCTTAGATGCTATGTTTGTAAATAAGTGTATAAATTAGATGGAATATACATTTATAATATGGTGATTACAAGCAGCAAAATGAATGGCCGCTCCCATTATCATTCATTGTATTATATATTCCCCTTATATTTTAGTTGTGTTTTATAGTTAGGTTTTGAATTTGACAAAAGTGCTAAATTAAATGTTGTATGTTAAGTTTTAGGGCCAATGTCATTGAAAGATTTTGTGTTGCTAGTGTTACTGTCCTTGAATTACGACAACTTGAAGGGGTGAAAAAAGGCAAGAGTTGTGGCCTTTGTTTTATGGGTTACTGCTTATAGACTTTAAATTGGTAACTTGATGAAGTCATATTAATTAAGCATTTTGGTGATACAAAAGTTACATCCCATTAATGAAGACAATCTGAAAGGTCAAGGCTATTGATAATTGTAAGAGTTATGTTCCTTGATAAAAGAAAAGTAACAGGCAAAAATTAGTCTAATTTTTTTTTTGTGGTGAGACTTGCATGTACATGGTTGTCATAATATTATGAATGATTATTTATTGAAATCAAATCAGGTCATACGAAATTTTTTGATTCAAAGTTTATTTTTAAGCAAGATTTGATTTTGTTTTTGCAGAATGCTAATACATTTAATGATATTATTGCATGGTTTTCATGAAAATTAGGTACTCATGGCCTTGTTATTCAATAATTACATGACTTTTCACTTTAGATTGGTTATTTCAGGGACATACCACCTCAAAATAACTAGATAATTATTGTATTGTATGAAATGTCATACTGTTTGTATATAATATAACATTATTTAAATAACATTGAGACGTATTTGAGAATGTTAACTGAGTCGTAAAAGATCATCTAGAATTGTACATGAAGGGTTATTTTCATATCTTGTTACATATTATATTGTTGCATTTGTACATGATCATTAAGAATGCTGGCATAATTATTCCCATTTATTTTTATTTTTTGCGTCCCCACTTCAAAAATCAAGGCTTTTACATTTTCCATTGCGAAACTAAATCTAAATATCTGATCTAATCTTTTAGAATTAGTTGACAGCATTGGATGTCAGTATATATAAATTTTTTTACCCGTTATATAATTAACGTTTTGACATGAGGAAAGAATGCGTTACACAAGTGTCTGGGTTAATAATACTAAACAAAATCAGTGAATCATTTTCTGTTATCTATCTTAAGTAAATCTAGAACATTATTTTTAGGTTTCTGTTAATTTTTCAGATATTTATTAGGCGTCCAATCACTTTATGGCTGATTCTTAACTCTACATATAGAAATATAACTTGGGAATTATCAAATTATTATTAAGAGGATATGCCCCCGCAAGTGAAAATATGTGGCATTTTATCATGTTGAGTGAAAATATATACCATATTTCACGAAAAACGAAAAATTTACCTTTTTATTTAATTTCATTATCAAAGAAAAATGGTTCAGAACCCCCTTGCTTGCTACGCAACTGTAATTGTACAGCGCGCAGTAATATTATTATTGTCTTGTTTTGCACATGATATTTAGCGCTAAATTGTGACGTCACATAAACAACTCTTTAAACCTGTTTGTACAGCGTTAATGACTGAAGTAAAGATATTGGTGTTCGAATTTATTTTCTTAGACCATTTTCTAGATAGTTTTCAAAACAAAATTCAACAAAAAGTTGTTTTGTATTTATCAGATTTTTTCAAACGAAATGGCGAAAGAAGTCCTTAAAATAAATATGAGTTTTCACTCCGCCCACTTTCATATTTATATTTCATATTTATTTTTAAAAAATATGAAATATATTTGACTGATATAGCACCATATTTCATGGGTAAAATTAAATAAAATCTGACCTTTTCCCTTTTCAATTGGAATATAAAACATACAAATATCCAATAATGATTTAGAATTTCTGAGAATCTAAGGATGATAATAAATAAACACTATAAACTGAAAATATATAGTTATTTCATAATAACATGACTATTTAAATGTGTGGGCGTCTTGGGCTCTTTAATTTGTGTAACAGGCCTGCTTAAAACAAAGAGCTTTGTAACGTTATCTTTATTTTCTCCCAAAATATAACTCCTATAATAGATTTGTATGGGTTATATTCTGGAATAGTTTAAGACCTTGTTACAAACCAGCTTGGCTTTAAGTACTGCACAGGTTACTTTGTTACGTGTCTGCTGGACAGATGATTTAGTTTGTATACATGCTTTGTAATACCTTTATGTTAACTTGATATAATGCTTGTGAACTGAGTTTTTAATATGTAGCACTGTTGACTTTTCTCTGGTTTTGGATTTGTATACTTATTATTTACATTGTGCTTTAAGAGATAAGTTTGAATTGATAGAATTCTTACATATAAATTGTATATTTTTACATAATCTCTAGTACAGAGACTTTCATTAACTATGTGACAACTTTTCTTTTAATATTTTAAGCTAAGTGATAAATGGTGGTGTAGAGCATTGAATGTTTACAAAAAAGCCACTGCTTTGAATTTCGAATCTGATACAGGGTTTCATCTGAACTTCCTAGTCAAGGATTAAGGTTTAGCTATTTTTATTCCTGGAAACACTAGATCAGTGTAGGGTTTCTTGCATATCAGACAGTTATATCTACTGGGCATATCGGTGCTAGAAAAAACTGTCTAACACTCCCCGTATAAAATGATGTCATTTCCGCATGCCATCGTGAATGAATTGCTTTCTTAGAATAACGTCATTTGACCGTTATAAATGAAGCTGTAAATTCATGCACGCTTAATGAAAATAATTGTTTTGTAATTTCCTTCAGAAATAAGATTAATATGTTATATGCAAGAAAAAGAATCAAACAACGGCTTTCGTTACAGAGTGGAATATCTAGCTCTCCATAACTGTTTAGCAGAAGCTTGGTACAGTCTCGTTGCCTCCATAAACAGTTATCCTCAAGCTAGATATTCCGGTGTGTACCGGTAGCTAGTGTAAGATCCTTACAGTATTCCCTGCATCATTAGATCAGTGTGAGGTGTATATCTTTATTGTCCTGTCTTTGTGTTGGCAGACAACTTTTAGCTTGACATTATTTTACATGCTGGCAATATGATACTAAAATTGAATGGCCTCTGAAGTCAAATAAAAAAAAAATCAGTAAATTTGTCTTCAGCTGATAATTATAAATAGATTTGGACTGGGACTACATATGTTGTGAATACATGCTGTTCTGTAAGATATCGCCATAAAATTTACAATTAACATGTATACATGATGTCATAATTTCATACTCCCTCCACCTGCTAGGTTAATTATGTTACATTGTCTGTACAAGCATCATAGTCTTTGTTGTTGATTTTTATTAGGATGGAAATTAAAGAAAAGTTAGTTGAAATTAATGATTTCTAACATCACTTTGATAATCATGTATAAATTAATTATAAAATCATTATATTTTGTTGTGTTGTTACATTATCCAGACATTTTCATTTCATATACAACTGTATTTGTGAAATATGGTAGCAATGAAGATTTTTTTTTTATTTTCAGTGTACATAGTATATTTGCTGAAGTCAGTTTTTTTTCAAAACACAAATGTGAAATTAAAACTTGATAAAATTTCTTTTATATCATTCATTATTATTTTGTTCAGTTTAACTGGAATCAACTAATTGTTCTCATATAGCATGTAATAAGTAGTCAGGTAATTGGTGATTTAGAATGGAATCATAATATACTGTTATTGTTTTTCTTTTCTTTTTTCTTTTTTTTCCCAATTGTTAAGTCCTTAAGCTTGTCTGATAAAGATTGCTTCATTAAGAAAAAAGGTAAAAAAAGAAAGAGTGTAGTGTACCACCAAAGATCATCTGGTCAATTTCCAAATGAGATGAGATTCATTTTAAGCTTGTTACATCTACACAGTACACTGTTGCAAGTAGTGGTTAGATCACCCAGGAAGGAATCATCTTACAAAGCCCTTATTTCTGGGTTTCTAATGAGCTGATTTTGCTTACTATACATAGAATTAGATTTTTATTTATTTCATTTTTTTCTTTCCATTCAATGAGAATGAAGAAATTTAATTATAATGTGTTTGAAATTTTTACTACACAGATATCTAATACATGTGAAAATGTCAAGAACATTGTACTAATGTTAATATGTATAGTTTCAAATGTGTATTAGTTTTTTATGTTCAAATTATAGAGCTTTCTTTTCATACAATTATAGGTCTAGAACTACATTGTAAACTTTGCTTTTGATTACATTTTCATGCCCTCTTTTTCTGTTATCATTGGCTAGATTAATATAATTCATATGAGTCTCCATGACTAGATGGTTAATGTCACTGACTTTGCTTGTATCTGTTGAGGGTTTGTATCCTACCAGAGACCATGGATTCTTTCATGTGAGAAAGCAATCCAGCTAGCTCACAGAATGTCAGTGGTTCTACTCAGATACTCGGTTGTGCTGAAATGCTTCACAGAGGGGCCCCTGAGGTCTTCCTCCACCAGTAAAGCTGGAAAATCACCATATGACCTTGATTTAAAACTCAACCAACAAAAGTTAAATTCTGAAATAAAAATTACCTTTTGATATTGCAAGTTATTTAATTATATCTTCTTGTTTTTCTTCAATTTAATGTGTTGAATAATTCTTAAATGAAAATTTTTCTATATTTGTTAGGATTTTTCACATTTCAGTTTTTAATCAAATTTTAAATTGAATATTATGAGACTGTTATAGCAATAAGAATATAGGTGTTTATCATGAATTGTTTTGTGATGTGGTTGTATATGTGAAGTATACAGGTAAAGTGATCATCATCTACTAATTATTGTTATCTTGTGTGATTTTGTTGGACGTGTACCTGGTACATACATAATACATCATGATTATTATAAATCTTGTGTTGCTTCTTTATTTGATTAGGGTCATCCTGCAGTGATGTGTTCTTTTTGCATAAAGTAGATGCAGAACAAAGACCCTTTTTCCCTTATTGAGAAATTGAATATTGATGAAAAGTCCCAATATTCCCCCATTGATAAATTGAAAATTTGAAAATCATTAAAAATTCCCAATTTAATTCTGAAAAATGCCCAGATATATTTCCCCCAATCAGCTTAACATCTTAGACACACATAATTGTGTATACGTCTATGTGATCTATATTAACATTAGATAAAAAGAGACTTTAGAAAATAAATTACATATCTTTCCAATGTTTTTTATGTTACCTTGCTGAAATTAGCCATAATAAAAGGCATAAGTTGTTGTGAAGAAAAAAAACTAAAGAAATTACTGTCATGGGACTCACTTGGTAAGAAAATATTGTGAAATTATTACTAAAAGGGATGAATGGTTTCGTCCAGACTGTTAAAAGGACAAGTTCATAAGGTATTAGGGTCCATATAAGTTACTATACCCCCGCACAACGAAGTTATAAGGGGGGTATACTGGAATCAGCTTGTCCGTCCGGATGTCTCCCCGTCGGTCGGTCGGTTTTTCCTTGTCCGCCCAATAACTTGAGATTCCTTAGGCCCACAGTCTTCATATTTGGCATGGAGGTTAGTCATGATTAGTAGATGACCCCTATTGATTTTGGGGTCACTGGGCTAAAGGTCAAGGTCACAGGGGCCTTGACTAAAAAAACTTGATTTTAAAATTTTCACATTTGAAGCATGGAGAATACATATCTTAGCAATGCACTGGCTTAGTAACCTCAGATTTGGCAGGGTGGTTGTCCTTGAGTTCTAACTGGCCACTGTCTGACAAAGTGATATGCGGGGGGTATTCACGCCATGAGAGTGGCAGTTCTAGTTTGGCACTGTAAGGTTTAGAATCCAAAAAAATCGAATGGCAATATTTGCTAATTTTCAGAAGTCTGTATTAAGCTTGAAATTCATTTGACATTTAGATATATCTCTATAGAAACTTGGAATATTTTAATTCCATGTGCAATTATTTTACCTTTGTATGGGACCTTGATTAAAAATTTATAACTGTTCATTAAGATTAAATTTAGAGATTTCAATGCATATATATATATATATAACATATGATAACTATAAAAAGCAAACTACATGTATGTACAGACTGTGACTGTGTTAATTATAAGCTTGCATTGAAATTATCAATGAAACAAGCATACTCCTAGAACCGGAAGTAATTAGCTTTTGACACCAGTATAAAGCCAGGTCAGTTGTTGGCTGACTCACTTCAAATTTTCATTTTAATACCGCAAAAATTGATAATCATCTGTTCCATTGATTGGAAGTTTGACCAGTCCATGTAGTAAAATCATCTTTATCTCTACTGAGATCCAAAAGTCTAACAACATTAAATTCAAACTTGTGCTCTTAAAAACTAGAAATTGATTTTGTGCAACTTTAAGGCTGATGTGTGTTAAAGTATTTAACACTTATTTCTAACACTTAAGTTTTGGCTCATTTTGCACAATAAAGAAGATAAATCTGGAAAAACAGAGTGAGTGAATGATAAGAAATATCTGCTCACAAGTTATTGGTCTATACATCAAATGGTACAAAAATCTTGAAATAATATTATCAGTCCAAATTATGTCATAAAATCTTAGTGGAGTCCCTTTAAGGGTTAATACATTTGCAGGTCAGATACTGTTACAAGTCAGACTAAAAAACTATGCTGTTTGTAGTGCCCATTTGACAAAGTAAATGTGAATTAGCTGTCTTGCTTTTCATGAAAGTGTAAAATTATAACCATATACTAGTAAGCCTTGTCAGTCTGATTTCTTTTTATATGCCCGAAGGAATTTTGGGCATATTATGTTATACCCCCTGGCGTCCGTAAGCAATTTGGTTTCCGGAGCATAACTTCAGTTCCATTTGGCCCACAATATTCAAACTTCATAGGATGATTGTCCATATTGGCTAGAAGACCCCTATTGATTTTGAGGTCACAAGGTCAAAGGTCAAGGTCACTATTACCTTAAAACTGAAAACAGTTTCCGGAGCATAACTTAAGTTCCATTTAATTGGCCCAGTGTGTTCAAACTTCATAGGATTATTGTCTAATTGGGTGGAAGACCCCTATCAATTTTGGGGTCACAAGGTCAAAGGTGAAGGTCACACCTTGAAACTGAAAACAGTTTTCAGGGCATAACATAAGTTCCATTTGGCCCACAGTGTTCAATCTTCATAGGATTATTGTCCATATTGGGTAGAAGACCCCTATTGATTTTGAGGTCACAAGGTCAAAGATCAAGGTCACTATTACCTTAAAACTGAAAACAGTTTCCGGATTCCATTTGGCCCACAGTGTTCAAACTTCATAGGGTTATTGTCCAAATTGGGTAGAAGACCCTATTGATTTTGGGATCAAAAGGTCAAAGGTCAAGGTCACTATTACCTTAAAACTGAAAAAGTTTCAAGAGCATTACTTAAGTTCCATTTGGCCAACAGTGTTCAAACTTCTTAGGATGATTGTCCATATTGGGAAGGAGACCCCTATTGATTTTGGGGTCACAAGGTCAAAGGTCACTATTACTTAGAAATTGAAAACAGTTTCTGGAGCGTAACTTAAGTTCCATTTGGCCAACAATATTTAAACTTCATAGGATGATTGTTCATATCGGGTAGAAAACACCTCTTGATTTTGAGGTCAAAGGTCAAGGTCACTTTTACCTTAAAACTGAAAACAGTTTCCGGAACAGAACTTAAGTTCCATTTGGCTCACAGTGTTCAAACTTCATAGTATGATTGTCCATTTTGGGTAGAGGAACCCTATTGATTTTGCGATCACAAGGTCAAAGGTCACTATTACTTTAAAACTGAAAACAGTTTCAGGGGCATAACTTAAGTTCCATTTGGTTCACAATATTCAAACTTCATAGGATGATTGTCCATATTAGGTAGAAGACCCCTATTGATTTTGGGGTTACAAGGTCAAAGGTCAAGAACACTATTACCTTAAAACTGAAAACAGTTTTCAGAGCATAACTTAAGTTCAATTTGGCCCACAATATTCTAACTTCATAGGAGGATTGTTATTTGAAGGAGGAAATACTTTATTTATATACAAATGCTTCATCTTTACAAAAAAAAATCAGTTTTGGGCATATAATGCTCCGCCTAGCAAAGCTCTTGTTATGCACCTATTATTTATAAAAAAAGGAGGCCATGTAATGAGATTGCCCTGGGCAGGCATGGCCAGTTTTGACTGGAGAATGTCTTCCACATGCATGGATGAATTTAAGTATTACTTGATACAAATATTCACCACCATGAGATATTATAATGATATAACACCAGCTGCCGCTACTGACCTCAGTATCTAGCTCGAGGGTAACTATGTTATGGAGGTAACAAGGTTCTGCTAAGTCTTCACTTAACAGTTACCAGAGAACTAGATATTCCTGTCTGACCAGAGTTGGTGCTTGATTCTTTTTCTTGCATATGAAATATTAATCATAGTTCAAAAAGAAATTACTTAAACTAATATTTCCATTAAGAAGACTTCATTCAAAACGGCAAAATGTCGTTATTCAAAGAATGTAATGCATTTATAAAAGCTTTAGACATGTTTTTTTTTTCTAGCAGAGAAGAATTCATGTCTAAAACAAAACTTCTTGATTCATAGAGGTACTTTAATATAACTTGGTACAAATGTTTACTTATGTGAGTTGAGAGTGTTGCACACAAAATTCAGGTCCCTGTGGCAAAAAGGTCAAGCCGAAGGTCATAAATAATGGTAAAAGGTCAGATAAAAAATAAGAAAATGTGTGTATTGGATAATTTGAATTGAGGGATCATACCTCAAATGTTCGCAATCATGAGACTGAGTAATTATCAGCTTAACTTTAGTCAATATATGCAAGGTCAAGGTCAAAAGATGATTAATATAAAGATTTTGTCAGGAGCATTTCTTCTACATACAAAGAGGAATCTTAGTATAAGTTGACACAAATGGTCACATTCATGAGAAGTAGTGTTGCACACATATAGCATTTACCTAGGTCAAGGATCAAGGTCACACTTAACCCTAAGCCTTCTAGTGGCGACTGAATTAATCCATGCCACCAGTGCAGACCTTCGATCAGTCAGCAGATCGATGCCATCTGATCCAAGGTCTGTACAGTCCACTATTCAGTCAGTATATGTTTTTAAATTTCCGCTCAAAATAATAAATGGTTTTGTCCAGATTGAAAAATGGGCAAGTGCATTTAAAATATTAAGCAAGGTAAAGGTTCAGAGGAAAGTACACATAAATGGAGATTGTTTAAATAATTTGGCACATATGTTCAACATTGTGATGAATAGTGTTGTGCACAAAATTTAGGTCCGTTTGGTCAAGGTTATGTGAAAAGGTCTAGGTTGAGATTAAAAATTGAAAAACAAGTATCATGAATACCAGAATTTTTTTAATGTAAATGTTCACCACTATGAGACCGAGCATTTGTGAAGGGTGTATTTTGCGACTAATTGGCAATGTTTATACCTCTCATTGATCTATTGATCGATGAGATTTATTATTATTATTATGTATCATTTAACATTAAAAAGTTAAAGATCCTGTATGTTTTGTGATTGATATTGTTACTGTGTGTATACCACACTTGCAAAAAATTATATATGTATATAATTATGCAAACAAAACAATTTTCAAACATCGAAGAATATGTAAAATGTGTACTGCAAATATTTGTGCACATTATATTTAATCAATAAATTATATGCATTAATTTCTTATTGGAAAATTTGACTTACAATTTATTGAAAATAAATTTCTAATTACCTCCCTTTATTTACATGAAATGTTAAATTCGGTAATATCTTTATAAATAATGCTTATTGGAACTTACAATATTGACAAATCTTAATTTGAGCGTCATATTTATGAAATAAAACCATGAAAAAATGTGTTACAGGATCT